AGACAATCTCTAGAGTTCTGGGAGTTTTCTGAGATTTTTGCCAAAGAGGAATGGAATGTATCACCACACCTCAAATGTCAGGGCTACAATATGTCAGTAAAGTGAGTTAAAACCAGTAAAACTGCTAAAAACATACATTTTTTTTTTTAAATTGACAGAAAACAGTTATAATAAACCATACAAATAAGTGCTGAAAAGCTTTTATCAGTAAACAGTGAGGTAGAAAGTACATTACAGCTGTTCAGTGTTGAATGTTTAAGAATTAACATCACAGCACTCGGAACACTCCCAGAAGTGCTCGGTCCCCATCGTCAGCTGCAAAGACTGAGTGCCACTTCTGATGCTGTGCTGTCCTCTTTGATTAGAGGACAAATAGTTTACAAATGCAACCTGCCTCACCTTTCCCTCAAGTGTTGATTGTTTAAAATATAATAAAAACAAATGAAACAGAATAATAATAAACAAAATGTATGCTCACATTATTGAAAATAATCTGGATGATGCAAGGGGGTCAACAGCTGACAGAGGATAGTGATTGCTGTGTATAGCGTTACAGCAACCAGGGGGCCAACAGCTGACAGAGGATCAATGATTTCTGTGTATAGCGTTACAGCAACCAGGGGGCCAACAGCTGACAGAGGATAGTGATTGCTGTGTATTACAGCAACCAGAGGGTCAACAGCTGACAGAGGATAGTAATTGCTGTGTATAGCGTTACAGCTGACAGGATAGTGATTGCTGTGTATAGCGTTACAGCAACCAGAGGGTCAACAGCTGACAGAGGATAGTGATTGCTGTGTATAGTGTTACAGCAACCAGAGGGCCAACAGCTGACAGAGGATAGTGATTGCTGTGTATAGCGTTACAGCAACCAGAGGATCAACAGCTGACAGAGGATAGTGATTGCTGTGTATAGTGTTACAGCAACCAGAAGGCCAACAGCTGACAGAGGATAGTGATTGCTGTGTATAGCGTTACAGCAACCAGAGGGTCAACAGCTGACAGAGGATAGTGATTGCTGTGTATAGCGTTACAGCAACCAGAGGGTCAACAGCTGACAGAGGATAGTGATTGCTGTGTATAGTGTTACAGCAACCAGAGGGCCAACAGCTGGCAGAGGATCAATGGTTGCAACAATGAGGGGGTGCAGAGGTTCTCAGTGTGTTTGGGGGAAACACATAATTCCATGGAGATGTAATACTTCAGTTATTATGATAGGTACTTAAGTGCTCACTACCATCATGTGCCATGTTGAAGCATGGTTTCAGAGTGTGGGAAGAATAGTTCATTTGTTGTGTTGTGTTTTCTCCAGGTCCAGCAGCTACAAGGTCAGATCCTGCAGGGAAGTGTCAGCCTCTCCACCATCAAGCCTGAGTGAGTGATGTTTGTTGTCCTGTACTTTTACATTGATTGTGATCTCAACACTAGAACTAGGCAAGGGCCCCACCACTCCTGCGCCCCCCTCCCCCCATTGGAGCACAGGTCCTTAACCAACCCCATGCCAAGTTACCACCTGTACTTTTGTGTGCCCCACCTTGGCCTCTGATTTTCACTGTGCTTCTAGGTCTGGTTCCTATTTATTTAACTGTATGGCTTTCAGAAAAAAAGATTTCCTAGTTATGCTATAAGATGTGTTTTTCTTCTTATGTGTCCTATCAAGTGCCCTTGTTTTCTTTACTTAGAATCACCACAACCTAACTCTTTCTGTAAACTCAAAATTAATGATTCTTTTATGCCAGTTTATTCGTTCTGTTCTGAGCAGGTCTTGTTATTACAAGTTTTTGTTTGTCAGTCATTGTCTGAGTCCCAGCCCATGTTTCCATACAGCAGTGTTCATTGAACTTGGTTTCATTGTTTTTGGCTTGCACGGATTTCCTAGAGCTGTGACAGTTCCTCTTGCGTTTTGTGTTCTTATCTCTAACTGTTCCACTCATTTTGTCTACATGGTTCATGTTCACTAGTCTCACAAATATTGATACTTATATATACTAGGATATTATAAGGACACAACCGCAATGATTGAGAACAGCTAGGTTTCCCTCCCAGAAAGCTAGGTATCTCATGATTCAAGAGATAAATGGAATTATATGAGTAGAGCCAACAATTCTTATACAAAACTTGTAATTTCTCACCTTGAGGCTGACACTGTAACAGTTCCTTACCTTGTGACTAATTCACTCACAGAGTTTATTGAGGAAGCTGGAGAAGGTAGCTCTGTGCAGCGTGGCAGTCATTGCTCCAGAGGCCCTGAGTATCCTTTGGTTATCTTCCAGGGATGCCGGTGTGTTGGGAAATCAGCAGCTGATTGGCTGGTTTGGCACCACTTGGTAGTAAATTGATGTCTGACGAGCGAGATGTTGACCTTTGAGGCGAGTCAATAGATCATCATGGTCTGAAGAAAATGGTTCACTGAGGAACAATATGGCCGACTCCCAGCACTCAGGGGAGAGGCGAAACAGACAAACGATCAGACTGTTACTGGTAGTAATGGAATTGGAACTTTGTGCTGAAGATGGGGAGAGAGCGCTTATGGGAATGTCCCCAGTGCTGTGATGTCAGTTCTTAATTCACAACTCAATTCCCAACCCACACATGTTTGTGTGTGTAAGAGAGAGGATCAAGTCTCTTCCCCCCCCCCCCCCCCCCCCACCCACACATGTTTGTGTAAGAGAGAGGACCGAGGACCCCCCCCCCCCCCCCCCCCCCCCCCCTGTTGAGCATGGGCATTAAAGCAGTTCACACAAATGCGATCTTATCCTTTGTCACTGTATGCATCTCCCTACATGTAAGTCTGTTATTAGATAGATGAAAACAACATGAATGTCCACCGAATCCTGAAATTCTCCTATTATACTAATTGAATTTCAGCATGAGTGACAGCAACTTCAGCACAGTGACAACCACACTAGACAACAGCGGCGAGGAGCTGCAGAAACTGAGAGAGCGGGTGAAGATTTTAGAAGATGAGAACTACCAGCTGACCCTGGAGCTGCAGAGAACCATGGGACAGAGCACCAAAATGCTGGACCAGATGCTGAAACTGGAGTCCAGTAACGAGAAGTTAAAGTTGAGGGTCAACCAGGTCAAGGACTATGTTGGGTAGGTGGTTTTTCTGTTGACTACAGTTTTTATTGTCACTGAATGTTAATGTCAATGTATTGTCTGTACAGATATTTGATGTAGATCGATGAAGGCTGGCAGACAGTGAGAGAAAAGAGGAAGTGAGAACGTTTGCTCATGGCAAGTTTAACTGGCTTTTGTGACTTTACTAAAGCTGACTGATTACAAATGAATGATTGACACCTCTTGAGGGGTATCAGGCCGTATTGTTCTAGCCCTGTCTTAGTTTTATAGAATAGTGGGGGGGGGGGGGGGGGGGGGGGGGGAGGGAAGAAATGTCCACGCAAAAGCGTAAACCAGTTTTGGTGTTGTGGAAGTGAATCAAAGACATTCAGTAGAAGTTATGTGGAAGCTGCAAATCTGGTTTTATCAAGAAATGATGGTAAAACTTTTGACATATACCAAACTAAAAAATGAATATGTCTTTGACATATACCAAACTGTAAAGTGAAGATGCCTTTGACACATACAAAACTTTAAAGTGAAGATGTCTTTGACATATACCAAACTGTAAAGTGAAGATGTCTTTTGACATATACCAAACTGTAAAGTGAAGATGTCTTTGACATATACCAAACTGTAAAGTGAAGATGTCTTTGACATATACCAAACTGTAAAGTGAAGATGTCTTTTACATATACCAAACTGTAAAGTGAAGATGTCTTTGACATATACCAAACTGTAAAGTGAAGATGTCTTTGACTGTAAAGTATACATATACCAAACTGTAAAGTGAAACTGTCTTTTACATTAAAGTGAAAAAAGTGAAGATGTCTTTGACATATACCAAACTGTAAAGTGAAGATGTCTTTTACATATACCAAACTGTAAAGTGAAGATGTCTTTTACATATACCAAAGTGAAGATGTCTGTAAAGTAAAGATGTCTTTGACATATACCAGACTGTAAAGTGAAGATGTCTTTGACATATACCAAACTGTAAAGTGAAGATGTCTTTTACATATACCAGACTGTAAAGTGAAGATGTCTTTGACATATACCAGACTGTAAAGTGAAGATGTCTTTGATATATACCAAACTGTAAAGTGAAGATGTCTTTTACATATACTAGACTGTAAAGTGAAGATGTCTTTTACATATACCAAACTGTAAAGTGAAGATGTCTTTTACATATACCAAACTGTAAAGTGAAGATGTCTTTTACATATACCAGACTGTAAAGTGAAGATGTCTTTTACATATACAAGACTGTAAAGTGAAGATGTCTTTATACATATACCAAACTGTAAAGTGAAGATGTCTTTATATACCAAACATATAACAACCAAACTGTAAAGTGAAGATGTCTTTGACATATATGTCTTTGACAAACTGTAAAGTGAAGATGTCTTTTACATATACCAAACTGTGAAGATGTGACAGTAAAGTGAAGATGTCTTTTGACATGTATAAGATGTCTTTGACTGCAAAGTGAAGATGTCTTTGATATACTTTAAAGTGAAGATGTCTTTGATATATACCAAACTGTAAAGTGAAGATATTGTGAAAGCAATGACTTCACAAAAAAAAGATCTGCTCACTTGCAGAAGAGGTCAGTCCCCATTCTTGGAGTTTGTCATGAGGAGCGAAAACATTGTGAAACAGGAGGAGAGGCAGGGAGACATGTTTGAGAAACTGGAGGAGAGGCAGGGAGACATGTTTGAGAAACTGGTGTGTCAAGACATAATTGGTAGGTACCAAAGGTGCCATTGTAATCAGATAGCATGACCATGGCAACATGGCAGTGACTGCCAGAAGGAGAAGAATTATTCTTGTTTTGACTGTCCTTTTATATTGGCAGTGTTGTTGCAGTGAATGAAATGTAGACTTATTATTTGTTTGCTTGCGAAACATGTTTTTGTAAAACTGCTGGGTTGTAGGATTGACCTGGAGCTGCTGAGTTCCAGTATTGACATTGAGACCCACCCCCAGGCAAAAGTTGAACTGGAAAAGTTGCAGAAGATCTCACAAGCTGTCAAAGAGGATTCAGAGGACTCTGAGGTAAGAATGACGCCAGTTTGTAATCCTTATAATGGATGGCACTTGTCAGGACTTGCACACCAGGAATCATTGCATGTACTAGGACATTTCCTGTACAGGGAGGGGTCTAAGGTCTAGTCTGAATAAATCACATTTACAGAACATCTTCCTGTATGGGGAGGAGTCTAAGGTTTAGTCTGAATAATCACATTTACTGGACATCTTCTGTACGGGAGAGGTCTAAGGTCTAGTCTGAATAATCACATTTACTGGACATCTTCCTTGCGGGGAGAGGTCTAAGGTCTAGTCTGAATAATCACATGTACTGGACATCTCCTATATGTGGAGGGGTCTAAGGTCTTGTCTGAATAATCACATTTGCTGGACATCTCCCGTACGTGGAGAGGTCCAAGGTCTTGTCTGAATAATCACATTTGCTGGACATCTCCTGTACGTGGAGAGGTCTAAGGTCTTGTCTGAAAAATCATATTTGCTGGACATCTGTAAGTGAAGGGGTCTAAGGTATAGTTGAAAAATCACAATTACTTGACATCTCCTGTGCGGGGAGGAGTCAAAAGTCTAGTCTGATAATCATATTTACTGGACATCTCCTGTGCTGAGAGGGGTCTAAGGTCTAGTCTGAATGAACACTTTACTTCAGGCTGTATACAGTAGCAGAGAAATTCCAATAAACAGCAGAGTTCATTGTGTGACCACAGCAAAGTTTATCTTGTGTAAGAAGAAAAAAAAAAAACTGTCATTATTATTTTAGTCCTGTTGATAGCATGCAGCTTTTAATACATTGTTGTAGTTTATTAATAATTGTTTTGGCCACGTAACCTTGTTTCTGATCTGTAAATCACGACTGATTTGACATTAGTTAAATATTGTAAAATTGGTACTAGATTTAATTTCTTCTGACAAATTTCTTTGTGCTAGGAAAGCTTGGAAATATCAGCTGTTAGGCTTAGTTATTTTGACTTTTTGTGCATGCTGTATATTTCCTGCCCAGGAATGACTTGTTATTTTGACTTTTTGTGCATGCTGTTTCTGTCCTGCCCAGAAATGACTTGTTATTTTGACTTTTTGTTCATGCTGTTTCTGCCCTGCCCAAAAATGACTTGTTATTTTGACTTTTTGTGCATGCTGTTTCTTTCATGCCTAAAAATCACTTGTTATTTTGACATTTCACTTAGGAAGAGGATGAAGCTGGAGATAATAAAGAAGAAGATGAAGCAGAGAGCTTTGAGGTGAGTGCTTTCTTAAGTTACAGACTTGTGAGTGTGTGTGTGTGTGTGAGCCTTCTTTTGCATTGAAATATTACTAAATGCCTGTTGATTCTTGTAGCTGTTGTTTGTTGCAATACATGCTCCTTATCATTCACAGATCTTTTCTATCAGTGTTTTATTGCTTGTTTTATTACTTGCAAGTTTGTTTTTAGGTCATGTTTCACTCGAATGAATACTGTCTTTGAAACACAAGACCATTGACTTCTCTAACTCCTTCTCATTATGTCCTGACGATGCACATGCCATTGTTTCTGTCCTTTTGTCATCATCATCATCAACCACTTCTGCCTATAAGCATCGGGTGGGAGGAACATGCTGGCTGCCTCTGGCTGTTGTCATACTGGGAAGGTGTAAAGTGTCTTTAATGTTGTCGATCCATCTATTTTGAGAGATTGTATTGTTCTCTTTGATAAGAGGTTGCATAGTTTACAAATACAACCTAAGAGATTGTCTTGTTCGTTTCTTGTTATGTATGTGTGTGTGTGTGTACGTACGTATGTATGTATGTATGTATGTATGTATGTATGTATGTATGTATGTATGTATGTATGTATGTATGTATGTATGTATGTATGTATGTATGTATGTATGTATGTATGTATGTATGTATGTATGTGTGTATGTATCTATGTATGTATGTATGTATGTATGTATGAGTGTGTGTGTACACACGTATGTATGTATGTATGTATCAGTGTGTGTGTGTACGCACGTACGTACCTACATATATACATACGCACGTACGTATGTTTTGTGTCTATATTTGTGGAATGTGTGTATGTATGTTTGTGTAAATGAGGGGTTGGGCGTGTGTATCTTGGTGTGTGTGTGTGTGCGCATGCATTTTACCACCCATGCTTTTGTATTTTTTTCTTGATATTCATAATATGCATATTATTATACGAATACAACATGCTTTTTTGATAAAATAAAACTGCTGTGTGAAAGATTTTTGTTTAGAAGAGGTGACTGTAAGACGGGCCTGTGTGCCCAATTTGCGACCCTTTGAAAATAAAGCTTGTTTGTTCGTTCTCTTTGTTAAGAGGATGTATACTTTCAAATACAACCCAGGAGCAATCTTAGATTTGTGTAAATCTTGAATATCATATGTTAAATTGTAATATATCATGTGAATCTTGAATATCATATGTTAAATTGTAATATCATATCATGTGAATCTTGAATATCATATGTTAAATTGTAATATCTTATCATGTGAATCTTGAATATCATATGTTAAATTGTAATATATCATGTGAATCTTGAATATCATATGTTAAATTGTAATATCATGTGAATCTTGAATATCATATGCTAAATTGTAATATCATATCATGTGAATCTTGAATATCATATGCTAAATTGTAATATCATATCATGTGAATCTTGAATATCATATGTTAAATTGTAATATCATATCGTGTGAATCTTGAATATCATGTTAAATTGTAATATCATATCGTGTGAATCTTGAATATCATATGTTAAATTGTAACATCCTATCATGTGAATCTTGAATATCATATGTTAAATTGTAATATCATATCATGTGAATCTTGAATATCATATGGTAAGTTGTAATATCATATCGTGTGAATCTTGAATATCATATGTTAAATTGTAATATATCATGTGAATCTTGAATATCATATGTTAAATTGTAATATCATATCATGTTAATCTTGAATATCATATGTTAAATTGTAATATATCATGTGAATCTTGAATATCATATGTTAAATTGTAATATGTCATGTGAATCTTGAATATCATATGTTAAACTGTAACATCATATCATGTGAATCTTGAATATCATATGTTAAATTGTAATATCGTATCATGTGAATCTTGAATATCGTATGTTAAATTGTAACATCATATCATGTGAATCTTGAATATCATATGTTAAATTGTAATATCATATCATGTGAATCTTGAATATCGTATGTTAAATTGTAACATCATATCATGTGAATCTTGAATATCATATGTTAAATTGTAACATCATATCATGTGAATCTTGAATATAACAGAGTTAAAGTTTATTGATCTGTAGTTAAATGTTCTGCAGTTTTTGCTGTCCCTTTCAGGATATCAATGACATGGAAGCAGATATGGCAACACCCCGGGCCAGAGAAATGACACAGAAACACACCATGCGCCAGGCTGTACTTCATCGTGAACTGAATGAGATCAACCGTATCCTGACCAGCAAACAGGCCTTGGCCGACAAAATGAGCCGGGCAGATGAGGAAATTGAGCTGATGCGCAAGCGGTATGAGGAGATGATGAAGGAGTGGAAAACCAGAACAGAACAACTAGAGAAGGAGAAGGAGCAGTTGACTACCACACTCATGGATGCCCAGGCCAATGCTAATGCTTGCAAGTGAGTTTGTGAATGTCAGTGCAATTTTTACAAATTCCTGGGGATCGTTTCCGGAACTTCGAAGTTGTATCTTTGTGTGACTCTTTCGACAGCGGCTTGCTGTTCTTGGGAAAGAAACTAAGCCATATGGGATAAATCCCGGCTCAGTAAAGCCCATCCTCTCGACTTTTCACTTTTTTTAATGTATGGTGAGTGTGGTTTCTGTGTTTGTAGAGCATTAAGTCACTCCATGATGTTTACTAATGAGGTACTGTCATTTACTAGTACAAGGTTTTCTTAACATGTTTGTATTCTCATTGATTAGAGCAAGTTTTTATTTGATTGCACTGCAGGACAGGGCTTTCTATGTGTGTCTATATAATTGAATAGAACAGGGTTTGTTGTATGTTTATATTGTGATTGTGTATGACAGGGTTTGCTGTATGTTTGTATTGTGCTTGTGTGTGACAGGGTTTGCTGTATGTTTTTATTTGCTTGTGTGTGACAGGGTTTGCTGTATGTTTGTATTGTGCTTGTGTATGACAGGGTTTGTTGTATGTTTGTATTGTGATTGTGTATGACAGGGTTTGCTGTATGTTTTTATTGTGATTGTGTATGGCAGGGGGTGCTGTATGTGTTTGTATTGTGCTTGTTTATGGCAGGGTTTGCTGTATGTTTGTATTGTGATTGTGTATGGCAGGGTGTGCTGTATGTGTGTATTGTGCTTGTGTATGGCAGGGTTTGCTGTATGTTTGTATTGTGATTGTGTATGGCAGGGTGTGCTGTATGTGTTTGTATTGTGCTTGTTTATGGCAGGCGTTTGCTAGATACAAGGAGCGTCCATTTGAAACCTGTTCATGCCACACCATGCGTAATTGCATGTGGTGAAAATGATCATGTCATAGTCATGTGATAAGTACTGACCAATGAATCAAAGAGCATGTGCTTATCATCCTTTTCTCTTGCACAGATGCTCTTTTTGACCTTTGAGAAAATGGCCAGGTTGATCCAAAATCCATTCAACAAAAACAAAAAAATTTACAAAGAGTGGTGATTCAATTACTTTTATTTAAACGGTTCACCTCCCAACTGACACATCAAATTCTTTTGCTAGCCAAAATTGATGCAGCAGTACAGGTGTCAAAGCCTATCTTATCTAGCGAAAGAATTTGATGTGCCAGTTAGGACAGTTCAAAAGGTTGTTGATCAGAAACTCAATATCAGAAGGTGTATTTTGCAATGGGTACCACAGATTCTTGATGACCGCGGTAAATACTTGATTCAGTGAGCAGTTCTTTTTGTGTGTGGTCAGCTTTCGCTGCTGAACTAAGCCAGTGGATGCTTGCCTAAAATGCTTATGGCAACTTGTTCTGATGAACGCATGGTGCATAATTCATTCTAAATGAATGTTTTGTTTAATTCTACCACACCTTTTGATGTGTCTTTCGTGCTGAAATAATAAAGCCATTAAAACAGGTGACAAATGAACAACTCTTATATGTTTGTGTGATTGAAAAGAACATGGTTTGCTGTAAATGTTTGTATTATGATTGTGTAAAACAGGGTTTGCCATGTATGTTTGTGTGATTGAAGCTAACATGGTTTGCTTTAATGTTTGTATTATGACTGTATACAACAGGGTGGGATATATATGTTTGTGTCATCAAAAAGAACAGAGGTTTGCTGTAAATGTTTCTATGTTAGGGCAGGTTTGCTGTATATATCTGTGACTGAATAGAACAGGGTTTCCTGTATTTTTGTATTATGATTGTATACAGCAGGGTTTGCCATACATGATTGTACTGTGTTTGGCAGTACAGGAAGTTGATGTTGTGAAATGTTGACAAGGCTGTTCTCCTGTCACAGGATTGCTGAGCAGCGAAGGCAGAGGTTGAAGGATCTGGAGCAACAGATGGCTTCTCTGAAAAAGAAGATGCTGGAACAGAGCAAAGTGGTCAAGATGAAAGAGAGCTCTGATAAACAGGTGTCCAAACTCAACGTAGAGATACAGGTAATATTTCCAGCCCTGACTGCCTGTAGCTTCGATATGTTATGTTATCACAATCGACGTCATTGCACATTGGACATTCCCATGTGTGCTCAGTCCTCAGAGGCAGCAGCCACTTCAAAGTACTTGTACTAATTGTTCCTACGAGAAGCTGGTTATATTGTCTCGATCTCCAAGATGGCATAGACGTGCTTCACCGTGCTTTACTCCCATGTCACACAATTGTGTTAGTGTCAGGGATTCCTTATTGTCCATGCTTCTTCCCACATGCGTTGGTGCACTGCTAGCCATTACCCTTTACGTCCGCATGATCAGGTGTGTAGATCCAGGTGAGGAAGATTAAGTGTGATTTTTTTTTTTGATGCTTTCTACCCATTCAGAGCGCATGTAGCTTTGATATACAGGTAATATTTTCTGTCCTGTCTGCCTATAGATTTGACATACATTCAGGTAATGGCTGCTGTCCTGTCTCTTGTAGATAGCATTAGTAGAGCTGCAGCACATAGTTGCTGCTATAGATGCTGGGATGTGGCCCCTCTAGTGAAGTGTTAAACTGGCCTTGATGGGACAGTAGAACTGAAGTGGCCTAGAACTGTATGTGATATCTTAGCAGACATTTTTCTGCATTGTAATCATACTGAGGATTGTTGTCAGTGTAGCACAGCTCTCTTCTTTGTTGCATGTGTTGGTGTCACACCCAGGTTCGTCTTTAGGTTTGCTACAGGAGGAGTCGATTGGAAGATTATAGACGAGGAGAAAGATGGTCGTGTCGATAGTGGCGATGATGATGATGATGTCTTGCTAGCTGCATGCTTCTCACACAGCTCAGATGCTTGTATAATAATGTGTCTGGAAACAACTGATCTTGTCTATACTGTCTTTATTCTGATACTTTAACAATGTCACAAACAATATCAATTATATTCTGAATAGCGCTGTGTTCTCTCTATGGCTAAATACTCGTAGGTTCGCGTTTTGTTCTTTATCTCTAGTTACTTTGTTAACTGATTCTAGTGTCTGTAACTGCCATCGGGCTTCTAGTGCTGTCTGGTACTAACGGCTTGATCATTGACTCTAACATCTCTATAGTGCTCCTAATATGTCTCTGTTCTCCATGGATCCATGTATCTTGTGTGTCGTCTCTGTAGCTCGATGTCTCGTTTCATGTCTGCTCTCCAGTGACTGTCTTCGAGGTTCAATATGTGACTGGTTCCTCTGCTTCCAGTGTTGAGCTGGCATCGCAGATCATTGAGACGAGTCGTTATTCCTCTGAGTCTCAACGACTGAAGGCTTCTAGTGTTGAGCTTACATCTCTACCACTGAAGGCAGTCTTGAGAGCCCTTGACTGGTCTCTACTCTCTTGAGTCTTGTGGACTGAAGAATTGCTAAAGTGCTTTGTTGCTCGCTATTTATACTTGGATGCTGGAATGCTAGATATTTGTTTTCTTCTCGCTTTGTCTGCTTCTAGAATATTCCAGTACGCCTCAACTTGTTTACTAGGTACGTTCTCACGTGGGGTTTGCTAATTATATCTCGATTGCATCAGATTTCGTCATTCTATTCTACGCAGATATAGTAGTTAAACTGACAATTGAGGTCATAGAAGCTTCTAGAAAAAAACAAGGACAGTTGTGTTTGCTTTGATAGGGCACGTCAACAAGGTATTTACTAGTGAGACAAGGTTGGGTCACATGATGAAAATGCATTTCAAAACTTCTAGAAAGAAGGCCAAGGCCAGACAACATCAGTTTGATGTCAATAGCTTGTTTTGGCGGGAAAAGAAGATTCTAGAAAAAGGGAATGTCAAGGCTGCCAAAATTTGTTGATCTCCTAATATTCTAGCTTTGTGCCTCCTAACAAACAAGCTATGAGCTCGCTCTATTACATAAGTTCCTCCCCACCGCACCCCCCATGACACTGATGGCATCATTCCTGTAATCTCTAGTTTGGGAATTAACTTCTAGAAGTATCCTTACCCTTCAGCAGACAGGCTAGAGTCATGCAGATGTGACGGGTGATTACACATTAAAGTGTGTAAATCATGATCATGCAAAACACACACACACCAGATGACAGCATTGAATTAAAAGAGATTAGAAGAGACTCAATATCACGCATGAACCAGGTGGTGGGAGTAGATGTACTGGAGCATGATAGATTTCTCAACAAGCAAACACATTTTCAGTCCATGATGTGGGAGCTTATCCTGATGGTACCCGCCTTCTTGATTTTTTTAAAACAGAAAATGAACAAATAATACTGTGCAAATTTCAACAGAAAATGAACAAATATTACTGTGCAAATTTCAACAGAAAATGAACAAATATTTCAGTGCTAGTTTAAACAGAAAATGAACAAATATTTCAGTGATAGTTTAAACAGAAAATGAACAAATATTGCTGTGCTAGTTTAAACAGAAAATGAACAAATATTGCTGTGCAAATTTCAACAGAAAATGAACAAATATTGCTGTGCAAGTTTAAACAGAAAATGAACAAATATTGCTGTGCTAGTTTAAACAGAAAATGAACAAATATTGCTGTGCTAGTTTAAACAGAAAATGAACAAATATTGCTGTGCAAATTTCAACAGAAAATGAACAAATATTGCTGTGCAAGTTTAAACAGAAAATGAACAAATTTTGCTGTGTAAGTTTAAACAGAAAATGAACAAATATTGTGGTGCCTTTGTGGCTGTTTTACTTCTCAGACGTTGAAGCAGCAGCGTGTCAAGTTGATGAAGCAGATGAAAGAGGAGACCAGCAACTTCCAGAAGTGGAAACAAGAGAAGGACAAGGAGGTCATGAAACTGCAGCAGAAGGTAGGTGAACTAGGAAATCTGTAGATGTGTTTTTGTTTTCCTTACTCAGAGTACATGAGTAAACATGGTAGTATTATTAAACTCACGTGGACATGTTTTGATATCCCCTGAATGAAGTAGGCAGGTCAAGTTAGGTGCCTCCAGTAAATATTAATTTGGTGCATCTTCTTCTTTTGTGTTCATTAATTTGGTGTATTATAAGCCTGGGGATGTCTCCTGGGGACCAGTCATTGTCACAGCATTGTTGGTTTAAAAAAAAATTGTATAAGTGATTATCATAGCACTTCAGACAGATTCATAGATGCTGTGATCTGCTCCTCCGTAGCTCCATAAGAGTAAAACGACTGATCACACCTGTTCTGTGTTGATTAACCAGACGCCTTATGTCCTTGGTGAAATGTTCAGATCTGGCTAATTCAGGTTGTATCTCTCTGATCACCAACCTGGACAAGGATACAGAGTTCTGCTGGTTGTCGTGATCTTCTGTGCAGCTCACAGATCTTTAATGATATCATTTCTGTCCAGCGCCGGGCCAGTCGCGGTAATTGCCTTGACTGCCAGATAATCTACACGCTCTTTGCTTTCAACACCTGCATAGGCCGACACAAAGACAGAGGTTAGGCAAGTTATTTGTGATGCATTTAATGAAAGAATCCATTCACATCTGATGAAGCTGGCCTGGAGTTTTGTTGTGGTAAAAACAACAGTATTATTTCACAGTCAGATGAGCAGTTGACTGATTCTTTTTGTTTCCAGTTTGATAGACGCTGGAAGATATATTTTAAAATATCAGTTTGATAATATCAGTGTGATAATATCAGTTTGATAATATCAGTTTTAGTCTCACTGCTGAAACAGTCACTAAATTGTTCATTTGTATTTCTTGTGCAGGATCGCAAGCGAGAGTATGAAGTACAGAGACTGAAGAAGGAATTTGAGAAGCAGCAGACAGTTCAGAAAAGAAAAACGGCAGAGGTAAACTGCTAGAGTATAACCTGCAAAATTATATCAGTTTTATATTTGTTTGGTTCCAGTAACATGATTATACAATTGTTAACCTTGACACTGTCTGGTTTTTGTCTTGGGCTTCCCCCGCCCTTTTTTTGTTTAATAATCTTTTAAACACATTTAGAAATAGTTTTTAAATTCTCAGATCTTTGGGGTCAGTTAGAATGTTTGATTGATTGCCCTGGAGATGTGGTGGTACAGAGGGATAGGTGGATTTCGTGGTAACAGTGATGTATACCTTATTTATAGCATGAAAACTGCTCCAATCAATGTATAGGTTGCTAATTGTAGGTCTGAAGTGTGTAGTAACACAGAACATCTATATGTAGCTACAGCTGGTTAAGCACATTTTTATAGTCAATTAAAGTTTGACCGTTCTAATTTGTCTGACATATTTTATCTTGTTTGCCTGGTCTTGGTGCAGAGCAGTTAGTACACCTGCAGCAGTGATAAGATTATCTGTTGGTGTCGACTCTACCACTTAAAATGAATACCAGACAATACTGAGTTGAGATTGTTTCTAGAAATTTGCTGAAAAAGGCATTGAGCAAGGAAACTAGCGGACCCCTACCCTATACTATAGCTAAGCATTTGTGCAAATCTAGCATTCACAGATGAAAGATAATATCTGCCTTAGGCGATCTTTATTTTATATCCTGCCATGAAGTGAAGAACTTATAAAAACCCCACGTTTTTGGTTGAGATGTTAGGAGCTGATTTCCTCTACTGTTTTGTGTGTGTGGTAAATTTGTGTGTGCTTGTTTCCTCACTGTTGACAGGCAATAGCAGCCAATAAACGGCTGAGAGAGGCACTGGCCAAGCAGAAGGAAGTGGAGACTGAAAGGACAGGAAAACTGGAGAAATATGACTCCACCAGTATTGGGAACCGAGTTCGGGTGAGTAGCAGCTTCAGTAAGTAAATTATTCTGTGGTAATGTTTAAATATAATGCATTATCATCTCTATGGGGGTTCCGGGGCCCCATTACGGGGAAAACAAGAAAGACCTACTGTCTCCCCGATAGGCCTGTTGTAAGAGTCAACTAATTGGGGCTTCCTTCAAAGTCAGAGTGCATCTGCCTAAGAGGCAAGGAACCAACAATGTGTACATGTAAGTCTGATGTGTAAAAGGGTTTTGCCCGCAACACTCAGGTTCTGGAACAAGACAGTGGACGAACAACCAGAACTGCCGGGGTTTCTGTGACACACAGAGAGGAATAAGATAAGTCAGGATCATCTGGAAAGATTAATTGTAATCAGGTGATGAATGTTTTGTAGCAGTTCAAACTGATCCGGTAGGCTGATGTAGAAGAGGGGCATGGAGATAGAAACAGTTCTTGGTATAGGTTATATTACAGGTGAGCCCCAGGAAGATATATATACATCGTGCCATTCTGCCATGTTCAGTTTGAACTATCATTAGGGAGCTGCCTAAGATGGCAGACAGGTTTGGTGGCTGGGCAGAAGATAGTTGAGAGCTTTACTCCACTGAAGGACTAGTGGCAGAAGATGGTTGAGAGCTTTACTCCAATGGAGGACCAGTGGCAGAAGATGGTTGAGAGCTTTACTCCAATGGAGGACCAGTGGCAGAAGATGGTTGAGAGCTTTACTCCAATGGAAGGCCAGTGGCAGAAGATGGTTGAGAGCTTTACTCCACTGAAGGACCAGTGGCAGAAGATGGTTGAGAGCTTTACTCCAATGGAGGACCAGTGGCAGAAGATGGTTGAGAGCTTTACTCCAATGGAAGACCAGTGGCAGAAGATGGTTGAGAGCTTTACTCCAATTGAGGACCAGTGGCAGAAGATGGTTGAGAGCTTCACTCCAATGGAGGACCAGTGACAGAAGATGGTTGAGAGCTTTACTCCAATGGAGGACCAGTGACAGAAGATGGTTGAGAGCTTTACTCCAATGGAGGACCAGTGGCAGACGATGGTTGAGAGCTTTACTCCAATGGAGGACCAGTGGCAGACGATGGTTGAGAGCTTTACTCCAATGGAAGACCAGTGGCAGAAGATGGTTGAGAGCTTTACTCCAATTGAGGACCAGTGGCAGAAGATGGTTGAGAGCTTTACTCCAATGGAAGACCAGTGGCAGAAGATGGTTGAGAGCTTTACTCCAATGGAGGACCAGTGGCAGAAGATGGTTGAGAGCTTTACTCCAATGGAGGACTGACCAGTGGCAGACGATGGTTGAGAGCTTTACTCCAATGGATGACTGACCAGTGGCAGAAGATGGTTGAGAGCTTTACTCCAATTGAAGACCAGTGGCAGAAGATGGTTGAGAGCTTTACTCCAATGGAAGACCAGTGGCAGAAGATAATTGAGAGCTTTACTCCAATGGAAGACCAGTGGCAGAAGATAGTTGAGAGCTTTACTCCAATGGAAGACCAGTGGCAGAAGATGGTTGAGAGCTTTACTGCAATGGATGACTGACCAGTGGCAGAAGATGGTTGAGAGCTTTACTCCAATGGAAGACAAGTGGCAGAGGATGGTTGAGAGCTTTACTTTAATGGAAGACCAGTGGCAGAAGATAATTGAGAGCTTTACTCCAATGGAAGACCAGTGGCAGAAGATAGTTGAGAGCTTTACTCCAATGGAAGACCAGTGGCAGAAGATGGTTGAGAGCTTTACTGCAATGGAGGACCAGTGGCAGAAGATAGTTGAGAGCTTTACTCCAATGGAAGACCAGTGGCAGAAGATGGTTGAGAGCTTTACTCCAATGGAAGACCAGTGGCAGAAGATAGTTGAGAGCTTTACTCCAATGGAAGACCAGTGGCAGAAGATGGTTGAGAGCTTTACTCCAATGGAGGACCAGTGGCAGAAGATAGTTGAGAGCTTTACTCCAATGGAGGACCAGTGGCAGAATATGGTTGAGAGCTTTACTCCAATGGAGGACCAGTGGCAGAAGATGGTTGAGAGCTTTACTCCAATGGAGGACCAGTGGCAGAAGATGGTTGAGAGCTTTACTCCAATGGAGGACCAGTGGCAGAAGATGGTTGAGAGCTTTACTCCAATGGAGGACCAGTTGCAGAAGCAAAAATATAATAGTCATTAGGATTATTATAATCTGTATGTGTGTGTTTATTGGTGCGTGGATAGAAGTAGGAATATCACATATAAATAATAATACCTGTATGAAAAATTAGAATATCACATTATCCAAATATTAGGAATATAACATGCTCAGATCGTATCGTATCGTATAAAATCAAACAAAAATTTCAAACTTAGTCCTTTTTTAGCCGCCTGATGGCCTGCTTTTTCAAGGACGGTTCCTTTGCTATCTTATTTTATTTATATTCCTTGTGGTGATCACTTTCACCTGAGTTTGTTCATTTGTTGCCTAAGTTCTGGTTCTGAGGGGCCTGGTTTCTGTTTAATTGGCTATTCGCTAGCTTTTGCACTGTTCATCTGTGTTAGTACCAAGTCAGTTTGAAGTCACACCGCCACGAAACAAACAGTTCCGCATACTGAGCGCCCTAAAACACGGCCCCCACAGGACGACTGTCACAATCTTGTTGTTGTGTGCAGCCGTTAGATAAGTAGAGGAGGTAACAAAGGTTGCAAAAAAATTAGAACGCCCGAAGGTGCAAAGATATTGTATAGCTAGGTCGGAAGTTGGAGAGAGACAGATAGCTTGCTAGGTTGAGGAAGAGGTCCTTGGTGGGTTGAGTCCTGCACACTGCCTGCTCTGCCTGGGTGGATCTGAAAATAGACTGATTTACATTTTAGATATATGTGGGGAGGGACGGGTGAGGTTATCAGAGTAGCGTAGTAGCCTGGAATTCCACAAGTGCTGGTCCCCTTGTTGTGCAATGCCCTTTTAGCTGGTTTGCCTCAGGGCGTCGGGCGGCCTTTGGTGGGTTTCCTCGGTTTTTAGCTGAAAATAAGTTTATTAACATTGAAACATATGTGGGAGGGGCGGGGAGTTTACAAAATGAAATGCATAACAGACTGAAATCCACGAGTGCTGGTCCCCTTCTTGTGCTATGCCCTTTAGCTGGTTTGCCTCGGAGCGTCGGGTGGCCTTTGGTGGGTTCGGTCGTATTATTCTTTCTGAAAATATACTATGAGAAATTATGTTAGTTGAATTTTTTAGTCTGGTTGATTCGCCTGTGGTGGAGAAGGAGTGGAGGTGGTACAGGCTGAGGGGCTCAGATAAAACAGGAATGCATTATATAGCTGTAGTATGCAACATGAGATAATCAACCAAATAACACAGCAGTGGTCAGATGAAGTATCTGGATATTGCCGTCTGGTCTCTCATGTCTGCACTTGTTTGTAGCATTCAGAAAATCACACCAAAATCTACTGGACAGAGCACGCTTTCCGACTGAATAAAATACATTGTGAAGAACAACTATGACACAAAACATCTAAACATGTTCCACCTATCTCACTGGCCGAGAGGCGCAGACTTTGACATGGGCTCGTCTCTAGTGGCCAGTCACACTTAGGTCTCACAATACCCGTGGAGGCCGCTGTGGCCCGAGTATCTCTAGAAACATGTGTCTCAAAAACTTAACGTATTCTGGCACTTTTGCACTAGCCTCTGTCAACTTCAACATATCAAATTATGAATGTTATGTACTTTAAAGAAATGTGATTGCCATATTTTGTGAAAAACAGAAAATATTAATATGGAAAGCATCAGAAATATTATGTGGGGGAGGGGGTTGTAATATCACTGTAAAAGTAAGAATATCATGTAATCTCAAACTCAATCATTGGCTGCATTTTGATTTGATGGTATACTTTTGGTTTGCTCTCAGAAATGGCTGGGGCGGGAACTGGATGTGAAAGTCAGTATGCGGGAGGCCCAGTATCACCTGGCCGAGCTGATGCAGGAGAGGAAACATCTGACGGAACAGCTGCAGCAGCTGCGAGACCAGCTGGAGGATGGCCCACTTTCTGAGAAGTTCTCCTGGCTCGGGGACAATGGAGATAAAGATGAAATTAGTTTTGAGGAGAAAGAAATCAAGAAGCAGATGACATCCATCGAACTGGACATTGAAGTCATGTAAGTCTTGTTTTAGTGGTAGTGGTGGTGTGTGTACGTCGACTGATTTAGTTTTGCTATCTTTGTTTTATACAGCACACCCTACAATGTTTAGGTTTAGACAACGGATCATTATGCCACAAAGCTCACCTGGCATAGGTGATCTTGCTGCATTATATTCTGTACTAGTCATCATCAAGCTCACCTGGCATAGGTGATCTTGCTGCATTATATTCTGTACTAGTCATCATCAAGCTCACCTGGCATAGGTGATCTTGTTGCATTATATTCTGTACTAGTCATCATCAAGCTCACCTGGCATAGATGATCTTGCTGCATTATATTCTGTACTAGTCATCATCAAGCTCACCTGGCATAGGTGATCTTGCTGCATTATATTCTTTACTAGTCATCATCAAGCTCACCTGGCATAGATGATCTTGCTGCATTATATTCTGTACTAGTCATCATCAGGCTCACCTGGCATAGGTGATTTTGCTGCTACATATTTTGTCATCTCTACAGCATGTTTCCTTGCATGTGCTGACAACTTTCTGTGCCATGGCAACAGGCAGTCAGGACAATTCTCTTGCTGTCATCCTCTAACTCTCTGTTAATTTCACAGTGGCCTCACTATGTTCCAGTTTTATTTTTTACTTCTCATATTGCAGTGCAAAATGATGACTGCATCTTTCTGTTGTTTGTTTGTGAAGTTCTCTTTGTCTTAGTCACTGTCAAAACATTAACATTACTAATTTTGTCTGCTCATAAAATATTCAACATTCTTATGTAAAACATCTCTGTGCTCTCAAGGGTTGTGTGTATTTCCTTATCTCATTTATAAACTGCAGTTAGTACTGTTGATAACCGGAAGTGTTGCACTGTAGATACATTTATAGGTGTTGCACTATTTAGGTACATTCATGGGGCTTTGCTAGATGTGGCGTACAGCTGTCTTGTGATTTCTTACTATACAATAAAAATGTATCATATTGTTCACATGTTTGATGTTTCTCTTTCTTAGAAATGCAAACATTCAAGAACTGCAGCAGAAGATTGTGGAGGCTGATGAAGGTTAGTTCATGAGTGTTGATTGGTTGATGTTAATGGATGGTGACTGTTGATTGGTTGGTGAGTGTTGATTGGTAGATGTTAGTGGGTGGTGACTGTTGACTGGTTGGTGAGTGTTGATTGGTAGATGTTAGTGGGTGGTGACTGTTGATTGGTTGATGTTAGTGGCTGGTGACTGTTGATTGGTAGATGTTAGTGGCTGGTAACTGTTGATTGGTTGATGTTAGTGGCTGGTGACTGTTGATTGGTTGGTGAGTGTTGATTGGTAGATGTTAGTGGCTGGTGACTGTTGATTGGTTGGTGAGTGTTGATTGGTTGATGTTAGTGGGTGGTTACTGTTGACTGGTTGGTGAGTGTTGATTGGTTGATGTTAGTGGCTGTTGACTGGTTGATGTTAGTGGCTAGTGAGTGTTGACTGGTTCATGTTAGTAGTTGATAAATGTCAACTGGTTAATGTTAGTAACGATTACTTTCAACTGGTTAATGTTAGTAGTTGATGACTGTCAATTGGTTAATGTTAGTAGTTAATGACTGTCAGTTGGTTAATGTTAGTAGTTGATGACTGTCATCTGGTTAATGTTAGTAGTTGATGACTGTCAACTGGTTAATGTTAGTAGTTAATGACTGTCAACTGGTTAATGTTAGTAGTTAATGACTGTCAACTGGTTAATGTTAGTAGTTAATGACTGTCAACTGGTTAATGTTAGTAGTTAATGACTGTCAACTGGTTAATGTTAGTAGTTAATGACTGTCAAAGTTGATGACTGTCAACTGGTTAATGTTAGTAGTTGATGACTGTCAACTGGTTAATGTTAGTAGTTAATGACTGTCAACTGGTTAATGTTAGTAGTTAATGACTGTCAATTGGTTAATGTTAGTAGTTAATGACTGTCAACTGGTTAATGTTAGTAGTTAATGACTGTCAGTTGGTTAATGTTAGTAGTTAATGACTGTCAGTTGGTTAATGTTAGTAGTTAATGACTGTCAACTGGTTAATGTTAGTAGTTGATGACTGTCAATTGGTTAATGTTAGTAGTTAATGACTGTCAACTGGTTAATGTTAGTAGTTAATGACTGTCAACTGGTTAATGTTAGTAGTTAATGACTGTCAACTGGTTAATGTTAGTAGTTAATGACTGTCAGTTGGTTAATGTTAGTAGTTAATGACTGTCAACTGGTTAATGTTAGTAGTTGACTGTCAACTGGTTAATGTTAGTAGTTAATGACTGTCAACTGGTTAATGTTAGTAGTTAATGACTGTCAACTGGTTAATGTTAGTAGTTAATGACTGTCAGTTGGTTAATGTTAGTAGTTAATGACTGTCAACTGGTTAATGTTAGTAGTTAATGACTGTCAACTGGTTAATGTTAGTAGTTAATGACTGTCAACTGGTTAATGTTAGTAGTTAATGACTGTCAGTTGGTTAATGTTAGTAGTTAATGACTGTCAACTGGTTAATGTTAGTAGTTGATGACTGTCAGTTGGAGTAGTAGATGAGTGTTGATTGCTTACTGTTAATGGTCAAGGGGTGTAGATTGGTTGTGATTGTTGATTGCTTACTGTTAATGGTCAAGGGGTGTAGATTGGTTGTGATTGTTGATTGCTTACTGTTAATGGTCAAGGGGTGTAGATTGGTTGTGATTGTTGATTGCTTACTGTTAATGGTCAAGGGGTGTAGATGGTTGTGATTGTTGATTGCTTACTGTTAATGGTCAAGGGTGTAGATTGGTTGTGATTGTTGATTGCTTACTGTTAATGGTCAAGGGGTGTAGATTGGTTGTGATTGTTGATTGCTTACTGTTAATGGTCAAGGGGTGTAGATTGGTTGTGATTGTTGATTGCTCACTGTTAATGGTCAAGGGGTGTAGATTGGTTGTGATTGTTGATTGCTCACTGTTAATGGTCAAGGGTGTAGATTGGTTTGTGATTGTTGATTGCTTACTGTTAATTGTCAAGGGGTGTAGATTGGTTGTGATTGTTGATTGCTTACTGTTAATGGTCAAGGGGTGTAGATTGGTTGTGATTGTTGATTGCTTACTGTTAATGGTCAAGGGGTGTAGATTGGTTGTGATTGTTGATTGCTTACTGTTAATGGTCAAGGGGTGTAGATTGGTTATGATTGTTGATTGCTTACTGTTAATGGTCAAGGGGTGTAGATTGGTTGTGATTGTTGATTGCTTACTGTTAATGGTCAAGGGGTGTAGATTGGTTATGATTGTTGATTGCTTACTGTTAATGGTCAAGGGGTGTAGATTGGTTATGAGTGTTGATTGCTTACTGTTAATGGTCAAGGGGTGTAGATTGGTTATGATTGTTGATTGCTTACTGTTAATGGTCAAGGGGTGTAGATTGGTTATGATTGTTGATTGCTTACTGTTAATGGTCAAGGGGTGTAGATTGGTTGTGATTGTTGATTGCTTACTGTTAATGGTCAAGGGGTGTAGATTGGTTATGAGTGTTGATTGCTTACTGTTAATGGTCAAGGGGTGTAGATTGGTTGTGATTGTTGATTGCTTACTGTTAATGGTCAAGGGGTGTAGATTGGTTGTGATTGTTGATTGCTTACTGTTAATGGTCAAGGGGTGTAGATTGGTTATGAGTGTTGATTGCTTACTGTTAATGGTCAAGGGGTGTAGATTGGTTATGAGTGTTGATTGCTTACTGTTAATGGTCAAGGGGTGTAGATTGGTTATGATTGTTGATTGCTTACTGTTAATGGTCAAGGGGTGTAGATTGGTTGTGATTGTTGATTGCTTACTGTTAATGGTCAAGGGGTGTAGATTGGTTGTGATTGTTGATTGCTCACTGTTAATGGTCAAGGGGTGTAGATTGGTTGTGATTGTTGATTGCTCACTGTTAATGGTCAAGGGGTGTAGATTGGTTGTGATTGTTGATTGCTTACTGTTAATGGTCAAGGGGTGTAGATTGGTTGTGATTGTTTGATTGCTTACTGTTAATGGTCAAGGGGTGTAGATTGGTTTATGAGTGTTGATTGCTTACTGTTAATGGTCAAGGGGTGTAGATTGGTTGTGATTGTTGATTGCTTACTGTTAATGGTCAAGGGGTGTAGATTGGTTATGAGTGTTGATTGCTTACTGTTAATGGTCAAGGGGTGTAGATTGGTTATGATTGTTGATTGCTTACTGTTAATGGTCAAGAGTGTAGATTGGTTGTGATTGTTGATTGCTTACTGTTAATGGTCAAGGGGTGTAGATTGGTTGTGATTGTTGATTGGCTGATGTTAATGGTCAAGGGGTGTAGATTGGTTGTGAGTGTTGATTGCTTACTGTTAATGGTCAAGGGGTGTAGATTGGTTATGAGTGTTGATTGCTTACTGTTAATGGTCAAGGGGTGTAGATTGGTTGTGAGTGTTGATTGCTTACTGTTAATGGTCAAGGGGTGTAGATTGGTTGTGAGTGTTGATTGGCTGATGTTAATGGTCAAGGGGTGTAGATTGGTTATGAGTGTTGATTGCTTACTGTTAATGGTCAAGGGGTGTAGATTGGTTGTGAGTGTTGATTGGCTGATGTTAATGGTCAAGGGGTGTAGATTGGTTATGATTGTTGATTGCTCACTGTTAATGGTCAAGGGGTGTAGATTGGTTGTGATTGTTGATTGGCTGATGTTTGTGATTGATGAGTATTGGAGTATTGATTAATTGATGAGTGTTGGAGTATTGATTAATTGATGAGTATTGGAGTATTGATTAATTGATGAGTGTTGATGGTTGGATGTTAGTAATTGCTAAGTTTTGATTGATTGGTGTTAGCAATATAAAAAACTGATAGAATTTCTGTGTGAATTCCCGGTCTTCGTTGAACAGCTGATCTCAAAAAAAAAAAAAAAAAAAAAAGATACAAGCATTAGAAATGTAATCTTTAAGAAAAATTCTTGGCATAACAAACAGAGACCACATAACAAGGGATGAGGTTGGCTGTATAATTATCCAGCATATTGGTAACTATGAACCTAGTTTAACTGCAGCAGAAAGTGCAATGGTACAGACATGTAATAAGATCTAACAGTCTCTCAAAAACAATGCTGCATGACTCAGTAGAGGAGAAGAGGTAGACCAAGAAAGACCTGGATACAGAACTTTACTGACTGGACCGGCATCAGGCAAGCAACCATGAAGTCAATAACAACTGACCGTCAGATGTGGAGGGAGCTGATCAGTTAACAGAAGCTGGTGACCAAATGAGGCACGGTAATGACTCCCCAACAAGCATGTCATAAGAGTAGACTAATTGGAGGTTTTCTTGAAAGTCAGAATGCACCTGCCTCAGAGGCAAGGAATCAACAATCTGCATACAGATCTGTAGAACGGATGTGTACGCAACACCCAGGTTCTTGAACAAGACTAAATTCCAGAGGTGTACGCAACACCCAGGTTCTTGAACAAGACTAAATTCCAGAGGTGTACGCAACACCCAGATTCTTGAACAAGACTAAATTCCAGAGATGTACGCAACACCCAGGTTCTTGAACAAGACTAAATTCCAGAGGTGTACGCAACACCCAGGTTCTTGAACAAGACTAAATTCCAGAGGTGTACGCAACACCCAGGTTCTTGAACAAGACTAAATTCCAGAGGTGTACGCAACACCAAGGTTCTTGAACAAGACTAAATTCCAGAGGTGTACGCAACACCCAGGTTCTTGAACAAGACTAAATTCCAGAGGTGTACGCAACACCTAGGTTCTTGAACAAGACTAAATTCCAGAGGTGTACGCAACACCCAGGTTCTTGAACAAGACTAAATTCCAGAGGTGTACGCAACACCCAGGTTCTTGAACAAGACTAAATTCCAGAGGTGTAAGCAACACCTAGGTTCTTGAACAAGACTAAATTCCAGAGGTGTACGCAACACCCAGGTTCTTGAACAAGACTAAATTCCAGAGGTGTACGCAACACCCAGGTTCTTGAACAAGACTAAATTCCAGAGGTGTACGAAGAACTGGAACTTTCTGCCTCAGAGAGGATTAGGAAAACAAATAAGCAAGGCAATCTGGCAGTAGAATTAGCTAGAGGAATTTAGCAATACAAACAAATAATACACATTTAAAAAAGGACATTAATTTCAAGCCGGGAGTAACCTTCTAACAAAGCAAATGTTTATACAAATGGTGTTCATTTTCACACGTGTGTGCGCGCGCACATTCACGCACACATATTCATTCATTCACCCTCCTTTCTTTCACATTTCAGAATCCAAAGGCAAATCGACATGGCAGAGCCTGCACACGATGAACGAAGCCAAATGTGCCTTGAAGTTTCTTCTTGAACAGGTGAGTCTTTGTGTACAATATTATTTTATGTAATCTGCATTGCATATGTGACCGGGTCCCTACAGGTAGCAGAGAGTATGAGCAGTGTAACCTAGTGTACTTGTCAGAGAGACAACTCAGAGATTTGACCATGTGTGACCGGGTCCCTACAGGTAGCAGAGAATATGAGCAGTGTAACCTAGTGTACTTGTCAGAGAGATAACTCAGAGATTTGACCATGTGTGACCGGGTCCCTACAGGTAGCAGAGAATATGAGCAGTGTAACCTAGTGTACTTGTCAGAGAGACAACTCAGAGATTTGACATGAAGCTGGATACTTTGTCCCATAGACAACTTCAGCTGCACAATGTAACCTATGATGCACAACCCTACAAATGTGTCATTTGGGGGACATGCACTTACCTTGAGAGATTTTAGAGACAGTTATATTTTACTCACTCGCTTGCGAATCCGAAGGTCTTGGGTTTGAATCTGAATAGAGACCAACCCCCCCCCCCCCCGAATAACCACATTTCCAGATTTGTCAGCTGTGGGATCTTCAGTGGCATTATACTTTCCGTTAGATGATTTGAAACTTCCCTCCATGTCTTGAGGATGCCTCATGTTTTGATCAGTAGACAAATTTATTTGAAAATACCAGTCATAACTTGCAGGTGTTATAACATTGGAACAAGTCACACATCAGTAGTTACAGAGTGCTTCAGATTTTAGTTCATAACAGCAGTCAGGAATTTGCATTTGTCACACAGTATTCAGTTGAACATCTACAACTCTGAGATGACATCACACAAACATCACGCTGCAGTTGTTCTCACAGCTTCTCTTTATAATATAGATTTGAATGCTCATTTCCGTGTCCAAGGTCCCTGCTTCACTCAAGCTTGAAACGGGATATTTTGCATTCACAAGTACTACTTCCCACTGATTTTTTTTTTTCTTTCTCTTCCTCGGTTTGTCCCAGCTTAATGTCATATGGTTTCATACTTGTTGTCTTCAAATTTTGCTTGATACAAATTGAGAACTGCAACATTTCCTCAACTGTTGTCTTCAAATGTTACTTGATCAAAATACAAATTGAGAACTGCAACATTTCCTCAACTGTTGTCTAATATGCAATATCTGGATTAATGATCTATGGACAGGCTATCAATGCCAGGGCAGACAGTATCAAAGCAAGCAGTGACCTCAAAAACAAAGATGATAAAGAGAAAGAAGACGAGGATCAAGTCAAGGCTTTAAAGGCTGAAATCAGTCGAACTCAGAGCAAGTATGAGAGAGAGATCGACAAGATTCGAAAAGAATATGAGGAGAAGGTAAGAACTGTTACTTTGTGCCTGGAATGTTAATATTCTTTGTCTTATTCGTTGTTCTCCAGTGGGAAGTCCTGGTTGTTTGTCCATTCAAACTTTGGTTTTGTGCCAGAGTTCGAATTTTGCGTGCAAATCTGTTTTACTGGCTGATTTGTATGCAGCTGTTTGTTCCTTGCGGCAAGGGCAGAGGCACTCTGACTTTAAGGGAAGTCCCCAGTTAGACGACTCCTAGGTCCTCCTTGTTAGGGAGACAGTGGGTCTGTTCTTGTTTTCCCCACAATGGGGCCCTGAATTCACTCAGGGAGTGTTCATCATCATCACCATCATCATCAGGTTTCATGAAGTTATAAATGAGAATGTCGCTGATGTGTCATTTCATTAAAAAAAAAAAAAAATGTGATTCTTTTTTTTCATAAGAGAGCAATTGGCTGAACTGGCAAAAAAAAAAAAGAAAAAACCCAGATGGATATAAGGAAAGAAAAAAGGGAAAATTGAGGAAAGGGTGTGGCGGCAGTAGAAGATAAAGAAAGAAGCATCAGCAGAGAGAGAAGACGAAGAGGAAAAATGAGGACAACTAAACGACAGCAACAGCATACGATCATTGCCATGAAATAATATGTACTAGATGTAACTTTCAGTTTAGCTTGTCACTTGATTATTTCTGACATGTGAACTGTGTAATTGTCGACTGTTATTGTCCATCTTGTTCTTTTTGTCCAGACCCTGTTCTTGCTAAATGCTGACCAGTGCTCTAGCAGCAAGAAAGCTTTGGATGCCAGATCAAAGGAGAAAATCAAGCTTTTGGTGAGTGTTTTGTCAACTGTGTCAGTTGGGGTTAGCTAGTGAGTGTTTTGTCAACTGTGTCAGTTGGGGTTAGCTAGTGAGTGTTTTGTCAACTGTGTCACTTGGGGTTAGCTGGTGAGTGTTTTGTCAACTGTGTCACTTGGGGTTAGCTGGTGAGTGTTTTGTCAACTGTGTCACTTGGGGTTAGCTGGTGAGTGTTTTGTCAACTGTGTCACTTGGGGTTAGCTGGTGAGTGTTTTGTCAACTGTGTCACTTGGGTTAGCTGGTGGGTGTTTTGTCAACTGTGTCACTTGGGGTTTAGCTGGTGAGTGTTTTGTCAACTGTGTCACTTGGGGTTAGCTGTGAGTGTTTAATCACAGTCAACTGTGTCAAAAAGATGTCAATGCAACAACCACATGGGGTTAGCTGGTGAGTGTTTTGTCAACTGTGTCACTTGGGGTTAGCTGGTGAGTGTTTTGTCAACTGTGTCACTTGGGGTTAGCTGGTGTGTGTTTTGTCAACTGTGTCAGTTGGGGTTAGGTGGTGTGTGTTTTGTCAACTGTGTCAGTTGGGGTTAGGTGGTAAATGTTTTGTCAGCTGTGTCAGTTGGGGTTAGCTAGTGAGTGTTTTGTCAACTGTGTCAGTTGGGGTTAGCTAGTGAGTGTTTTGTCAACTGTGTCAGTTGGGGTTAGCTAGTGAGTGTTTTGTCAGCTGTGTCGCTTGAGGTTAGGATTTTTTATGGATAAAATTTGAATAAGTCCTAACACCTGTATTTTGGGAAGTAAGGCCCTTGGAGAACACATTTGGCACATAGTTCTACTAATTTTCCAACCTCCAGTCATGTTTCAGTTGCTATGATGCAACTGTCCTTTTTGCTATTTATTCGGCACAGGTAATCCCAGAAAAAAATCAATGTAAAATCACAGAACACATCAAACTTTTTCAAAAGCTGTCAATGAACAGCCCACATGTGCAAAAAAATGCCAGAGGCTCAGCCGTCCTTCTGGCTACTTTGCTTTGGACGGATATTTCGGGCGCGTCGTCTCCAGAGGGTTAAACCTGAAATGTTTCCTGGTGGTTGGAAATCATAAATGCTAGGTCATATTGGCAACCACTAGCAAATATTCACAATATAGGTCCATTTAAAAAAAAGTGTTTTCCTTTGAATTACAAATATTGCTAATGTGTAGCAAAGATAAAGGCAGTTGTGTGGCAGCAAGAGTACAGAAGGGAACAGAATTGATAATAAAGAACACATTCATGACAGTATCGAAACAGTAACAAACAGTACTCAAAGTAATGTCGCATATCAAATAAAGAACACATTTCCTGACAGCATCAAAACATCAACAAACAGTACTCAAAGTAATGTCACATATCAAATAAAAGAACAGTGCAAAAACCCTTCCAACACTCACACACATAATTCCTGTTTTTCTTCCTCTTCCATTTTGTTTCTCTGTCATCACCCATTAGTACATATTCTAACAGCCATCTTATGTCAGACCCTTCATAGACTAGTTCATGATTTCTGAGTTTAGAACTATAGTTCCTGTTAAGACCTGGATATCTTGCTGTCGCTTCTCTATTTCTCTCTCTTTCTCCTGTCTGTCTATCTCTTCTCTCTCTCTTGCACTCTCTCTCTTCGTGCGCATGCAGATCTTTGTTACACTTTCATTATTGTACTTTTCCAGGAAGCAAAGATCCAGTCTCTGGAAAGTATCCAAGAAAAGTTTGATAAAGTGGAGAAGGAGTGTGAGCAGATGAAACAGGTAGCTGATGTCAAGACTGTTTGCAATATTTTAACTTCTTCCTTGGTCTGGCTGAGGTCTTCAGGTTTTGTTGTTGTTCTTTGGTTGTTGGTGTGCAATTGTTGTCAATTGATTGTTATTGTTGTTATCAATGCAGCAAGACCTTGGTATTGATGGGATGCCATTAGGGAAAGAAAAGATAGACCCACTGTCTCCCTCACAAGCATGTTGTCAAATGGACTAATTCCGGTTGTTCTCTTAAAAGTTAGTGCTTTTGCCCAAGAGGTGAGCAACCAACAGAAGATCTGTAAAACAGATGTGCACCCAAGACAGGTTCTGGAACAAAACTAAAGTCTATAAGCAGATTAACAACCACTATAATTACAGTCGGTGAATACTAAGGGAAAAAAAAAGCCATTTAGTCATGTCTTTAGGATGCGTGCCTCGCAATGAGCCTGGAATGTGCTATTGTTGCAGCACTTTATTCAGGTATTTTTAAAATGTAAAGTTGTTCATTGGTTGTTTGTAAATGAAAACATGATGTTACAATCTACCAAATGCTGTGCTATCAGTGCCAGCATAGACACCTGTCTAAAGTGTTGATGGAACCCTCTTGCCACATAGAGGAACACTCTCATCATCGAGCAGATTGGGGTATATTCGGACATGACATCCTGCATGAGAATGGAGGTGCAGGAGGTCACTGCGGCGCTTGAAGAGAGATCATTCATTCAGTAAGGTTATCTTTGACTTGTCATCTACAAGACCAGAAGTAGCTTGAGCTTGGGGTAGATTTTCTCAGAACAGTGCAAGTCTTCAATATGCTATCTGTTAAGTGTTTTTTCTTTTTCTAAAAGTGTGTTAATTTGGGGGTTATTTTTCTTTAGACCAACAGAATTTACAATTATTATTTTTATTTTGAAAATATAAACTGTTTTGAAAATAATGATATTAACTACAAGCCTACAGTTTCACCCTTGGGACTTTAACTTAGAGCAAGGCTGTTCAACTCAGTTTTCTCAGGGGCCAACATTTTCTAAATTGGAATCGTCCTCTGGAAAGACGGAAAACTACCAGCAACAACAAAATGTCTGAGATAATTAGACTGATTATATAATGGTTAGGTGTAAAGTCTGTGCTGCCGAGTACTAGGGTTATATTATTTCTCTGTATTGACACTAACTAGTGATGTCTTGACACTAACTAGTGATGTCTTGACACTAACTAGTGATGTCTTGGCATGCAGGTATACACTCCAAGACAGTGTTGGCCCTCATGTACATTTGTGGTCCATGAGGTTGAGTTTAGAGATTCGGGTGGAAGAATCAGATATTGTAGGTGTGGCTGGGTGTAACATATTGTGTGTGACCAGTGTAGCAAAGACAAGTTCATTTCACATCTTAGCCAAAATGTGCCTGTAACTGTCCTGGTAATCCCCAGCCTTCTTTTTGATTTTCTGTCAGTCATGTCTGACACAAATATTCTTCTCCATGTCACACTGTCAGTCATGTCTGACACAAATATTCTTCTCCATGTCACACTGTCAGTCATGTCTGACACAAATATTCTTCTCCATGTCACACTGTCAATCACAAATATTCTTCTCCATGTCACACTGTCAGTCATGTCTGACACAAATATTCTTCTCCATGTCACACTGTCAGTCATGTCTGACACAAATATTCTTCTCCATGTCACACTGTCAGTCACAAATATTCTTCTCCATGTCACACTGTCAGTCATGTCTGACACAAATATTCTTCTCCATGTCACACTGTCAGTCATGTCTGGCACAAATATTCTTCTCCATGTCACACTGTCAGTCATGTCTGGCACAAATATTCTTCTCCATGTCACACTGTCAGTCATGTCTGGCACAAATATTCTTCTCCATGTCACACTGTCAGTCATGTCTGGCACAAATATTCTTCTCCATGTCACACTGTCAGTCATGTCTGGCACAAATATTCTTCTCCATGTCACACTGTCAGTCACAAATATTCTTCTCCATGTCACACTGTCAGTCATGTCTGGTACAAATATTCTTCTCCATGTCACACTGTCAGTCATGTCTGACACAAATGTTCTTCTCCATGTCACACTGTCAGTCATGTCTGGCACAAATATTCTTCTCCATGTCACACTGTCAGTCATGTCTGACACAAATATTCTTCTCCATGTCACACTGTCAGTCACAAATATTCTTCTCCATGTCACACTGTCAGTCGTGTCTGACACAAATATTCTTCTCCATGTCACACTGTCAGTCGTGTCTGACACATATATTCTTCTCCATGTCTCACTGTCAGTCGTGTCTGACACATATATTCTTCTCCATGTCACACTGTCAGTCATGTCTGACACATATATTCTTCTCCATGTCACACTGCCAGTCACAAATATTCTTCTCCATGTCACACTGTCAGTCATGTCTGACACATATATTCTTCTCCATGTCACACTGCCAGTCACAAATATTCTTCTCCATGTCACACTGTCAGTCGTGTCTGACACAAATATTCTTCTCCATGTCACACTGTCAGTCATGTCTGACACATATATTCTTCTCCATGTCACACTGCCAGTCACAAATATTCTTCTCCATGTCACACTGTCAGTCATGTCTGACACATTCTTCTCCATGTCACACTGTCAGTCATGTCTGACACATTCTTCTCCATGTCACACTGTCAGTCATGTCTGACACATTCTTCTCCATGTCACACTGTCAGTCATGTCTGACACATTCTTCTCCATGTCACACTGTCAGTCATGTCTGACACATTCTTCTCCATGTCACACTGTCAGTCATGTCTGGCACAAATATTCTTCTCCATGTCACACTGTCAGTCATGTCTGACACAAATGTTCTTCTCCATGTCACACTGTCAGTCATGTCTGGCACAAATATTCTTCTCCATGTCACACTGTCAGTCATGTCTGACACATATATTCTTCTCCATGCCACACTGCCAGTCACAAATATTCTTCTCCATGTCACACTGCCAGTCACAAATATTCTTCTCCATGTCACACTGTCAGTCATGTCTGACACATATATTCTTCTCCATGTCACACTGCCAGTCACAAATATTCTTCTCCATGTCACACTGTCAGTCGTGTCTGACACAAATATTCTTCTCCATGTCACACTGTCAGTCATGTCTGACACATTCTTCTCCATGTCACACTGTCAGTCATGTCTGACACATTCTTCTCCATGTCACACTGTCAGTCATGTCTGACACATTCTTCTCCATGTCACACTGTCAGTCATGTCTGACACATTCTTCTCCATGTCACACTGTCAGTCATGTCTGACACATTCTTCTCCATGTCACACTGTCAGTCATGTCTGACACAAATATTCTTCTCCATGTCACACTGTCAGACGTGTCTGACACATATATTCTTCTCCATGTCACACTGTCAGTCGTGTCTGACACATATATTCTTCTCCATGTCACACTGTCAGTCATGTCTGACACAAATATTCTTCTCCATGTCACACTGCCAGTCACAAATATTCTTCTCCATGTCACACTGTCAGTCGTGTCTGACACATATATTCTTCTCCATGTCACACTGTCAGTCATGTCTGACACATATATTCTTCTCCATGTCACACTGTCAGTCGTGTCTGACACATATATTCTTCTCCATGTCACACTGTCAGTCGTGTCTGACACATATATTCTTCTCCATGTCACACTGTCAGTCATGTCAGTCACAAATATTCTTCTCCATGTCACACTGTCAGTCATGTCTGACACATATATTCTTCTCCATGTCACACTGTCAGTCGTGTCTGACACATATATTCTTCTCCATGTCACACTGTCAGTCATGTCAGTCACAAATATTCTTCTCCATGTCACACTGTCAGTCATGTCTATCTTTTTCCTTTGTCCCCCTCCCCTCCTTTATCTTCAGTTTTGTCACAATGTACCCCAGTTCTATCTTTTCCAGAGAGGTGCTGTTTATGTAACCCTGACAATCTTGGAAACATTCAACAATTTACTTGATAAGACAATAAAGAGGAGGGTTGATCATCATGTGGCATTATTAAATCTTGGTACTAGGACACATAGTTTTGATGTCTGCAGTCAAGACATCACTGAACTGAGTCACTGATTGTTTGTGATTGACATCTCTTGCATTTGACCACAGCAACTTTGCTCTCCCCAGAAAATGACCACGGTCATGTATCAGAACAAGACATTCCATCTGATGCCGGACCTGGACTCTTGTACTTCCCCCTTTTTGAATCCTAAACCCAAGGTAAATCATCCACACATGTGTTCAGTTTTCTTGTTGTTTTTGATTCCACAGTCCTTGGTTCCAACTCGTATCATTCTTTATTGAGTGTTATGTGATACAAGTCTGCTGCAGATGTTAAAATACTGGTTTTCTCTCACTGGAGTTGGTTCAGCACTCAACAAATATTATAAATGTCTCCTTTATTACATTATTTTCTCTACTTCCCTCCTTCTTTTTCACTAAGCTTTACTGCAGTAGTTAATTTATCTAACTTCGCAGTTTCTAGTAGTTGTATGCTGTAACTGGTGCCATGTTTCAGTAGTTAATATTGTAACTGGTGCCATGTTTCAGTAGTTAATATTGTAACTGGTGCCATGTTTCTGTAGTTAATATTGTAACTGGTGCCATGTTTCAGTAGTTAATATTGTAACTGGTGCCATGTTTCAGTAGTTAATATTGTAACTGGTGCCATGTTTCATGTTAATATTGTAGTATGTTAGTAGTAATATTGTAACTGGTGCCATGTTTCAGTAGTTAATATTGTAACTGGTGCCATGTTTCAGTAGTTAATATTGTAACTGGTGCCATGTTTCAGTAGTTAATATTGTAACCGGTGGCATGTTTCAGTAGTTAATATTGTAACTAGTGCCATGTTTCAGTAGTTAATATTGTAACTGGTGCCATGTTTCAGTAGTTAATATTGTAACTGGTGCCATGTTTCAGTAGTTAATATTGTAACTGGTGCCATGTTTCAGTAGTTAATATTGTAACTTGTGCCATGTTTCAGTAGTTAATTTTGTAACTTGTGCCATGTTTCAGCTCAATTCAACAACGTCAACCTTGGACAGCACTTATGTTGTTGATGAACCGCCACCAAAGTCAAATCCTGCTCCATCAAAGCCAATTTTTGCTCCATCAAAGCCAATTTTTGCTCCATCAAAGCCAATTCCTGTGCCCAAACAGCCGAAAGCAGCACAGAAAAAAACCAGATCAAAGGAAAAAGCATCTACTTCCTCGGCCAGTGATAGCAACACTTCGCAAGAAAATGTTGAGCATGGAGCATCAGGCAAAGACATCAGAGCCAAGAAATTACGTGGGAAGTTGACTCAGAAAACTGCAAAGAAGTCTTCCTCTGATGACAGCCAAAACAACGAAGAAACAGAAGATGGGAAACGGTCGCCAGGTTTTCTGAAACGTCGCTCTGGTGATGACGCCGACGACAACGAAGCTGACACCAGCCAGGAAAAGCGGAAGCGACGAAAGAGAACTTTGTTGGGTAGCAGTTCTGGTTTCTTTCAACACTTGAACAGTTAGTTCTCCATTGACTGCATTAGTTCTCCATTGACTGCATTAGTTCTCCATTGACTGCATTAGTTCTCCATTGACTGCATTAGTTCTCCATTGACTGCATTAGTTGTCCATTGACTGCATTAGTTGTCCATTGACTGCATTAGTTGTCCATTGACTGCATTAGTTGTCCATTGACTGCATTAGTTGTCCATTGACTGCATTAGTTGTCCATTGACTGCATTAGTTGTCCATTGACTGCATTAGTTGTCCATTGACTGCATTAGTTCTCCATTGACTGCATTAGTTCTCCATTGACTGCATTAGTTCTCCATTGACTGCATTAGTTCTCCATTGACTGCATTAGTTCTCCATTGACTGCATTAGTTCTCCATTGACTGCATTAGTTCTCCATTGACTGCATTAGTTCTCCATTGACTGTCAACATCTGGGTTTTTCATGTATTTAATCATCTGCAAATATTTGTTCACCTCACAGATTGAGACGCATGTGTTTATCAGATTGATTACGACTTTTTTTTTTGACAAAAAAAAAAAAAAAAAGAAATTGTTGGGAAATTGGCTGTTTCTGCTACTTTACCTGTATATGTTTTCTCCAGCGGTTATCTGTTGAGTTTAGTGGTTTTTCTGTTGATTCAATTTTACCCTCAGCTTAGACTTGGTGCAGTTTTTCTGTTGATTCAATGATACCCTCAGCTTAGACTTGGTGCAGTTTTTCTGTTGTTGTTTAGATGGATCCCCCCCTCCAAGATGAATGCCTGCTGGTGCTTTCCATTAACTGCGATACAATTCTTGGTGCAGTTTTTCTGTTGTTGTTTAGATGGATCCCCCCCTCCAAGATGATGCCTGCTGGTGCTTTCCACTTGCGATACAATTCTTGGGGCAGTTTTTCTGTTGTTTTTAGATGGATCCCCCCCCCCCCCCCCAAGATGAATGCCTCAGCTTTCCATTAACTGCGATACAATTCTTGGTGCAGTTTTTTCTGTTGTTGTTTAGATGGATCCCCCCCCCCCCCCCCCAAAGATGAATGCCTGCTGGTGCTTTCCATTAACTGCGATACAATTCTTGGTGCAGTTTTTCTGTTGTTGTTTAGATGGATCCCCCCCTCCAAGATGAATGCCTGCTGGTGCTTTCCATTAACTGCGATACAATTCTTGGTGCAGTTTTTCTGTTGTTGTTTAGATGGATCCCCCCCCCAAGATGAATGCCTGCTGGTGCTTTCCATTAACTGCGATACAATTCTTGGGGCAGTTTTTCTGTTGTTGTTTAGATGGATCCCCCCCCCCCCAAGATGAATGCCTGCTGGTGCTTTCCATTAACTGCGATACAATTCCTGGTGCAGTTTGCGTCCCTGTTCTCGGTTAAACTATTTTATTGTTTGTATTTGGTTGGCTTGGAGCTGATGTGGCTCAGCGGCTAGAAGCTCACCTGTAGATTGTGGGTTCCAGTACAAACAGTTGACAAAAAAATACCTGTCAGATACTGCCTGTATTGTACTACTGTTTGTGGTGTAGACAGGGGGGAGGTGTTTGAGCCTAAGTATTTACCGCTGCATGGCTAGTGCTGTCACCACAACTCTGCAAGTGAGGATTTTATTTTGCCCCGACAGAAAAAATCCCCAGCCTAACTGAGTATTCAAAACCCGGTCCCCCGCTTGAACCCAGTCTTCTAACCTTTTGGCCAGGCGCTCCTTAGCCCCACTTTCTCCTTCTTCGGAAATGACCTTGGCTCCCAGGTCAACCCAGCCTTAAGTTAGTACAAGGTGAAGTCCTGGGAAGTAAAGGAGACCTGCATGATGTTAACTATGTCATCCACTATCAGTACATCCGTAGAATATATGTTTAACACTATGCCCAATACGCCTAAAAATTTGGAAATGGGTTCTTTAATTTTACCTGCTAGGAAGAAAATGTCTGCTAGGAAGAAAATGTAGTCTGCTGGAAGAAAATAGGGGCTTTTGAGCTGAAAGATTTGCAGAATACCAAGGAAAAAAAAGCAATACTGAGATCATAAGAAGCGATTAGCAAATAAACAGTCAGCATCTTGCCTTGGAAACTGAAATCTTTTGGCCAAATCTAGCACGAAGGTGGATTGCGACAAAATAATAGCAGAAGGTGTGGTATCAGGAAAGAGGAGCAGTGACCAACCAACACAGAGATGGGCACAGGATACAAGTGACTCCTGGGATATGAAAGTGTACGGGGCGAAAGAGGAGTTTCTTTCAGGCAGGCCGTAATGAGAGCCGGGTTCTGCTACATGATGATGATGTTTTCTAGACATGATGTCATTGTGTCGACTTGTTTGTATTTCATTTTCATCGTTCTTGTTAATGATCCGTTTTATCTGTGTGTATCCAGATCTCATTGTTTGCTATTATCCTTTATTTTTTACAGAGAGGCTTACTGTAAACAATATGTTTGACAGAGAGGCTTGCAGTAAGCAATATGTTTGACAGAGAGGCTTACAGTAAACAATATGTTTGACAGAGAGGCTTACAGTAAACAATATGTTTGACAGAGAGGCTTACAGTAAACAATATGTTTGACAGGGAGGCTTACAGTAAACAATATGTTTGACAGGGAGGCTTGCAGTAAGCAATAAGTTTGACAGAGAGGCTTACAGTAAACAATGTTTGACAGGGAGGCTTGCAGTAAACAATATGTTTGACAGAGAGGCTTACAGTAAACAGTAGGTTTGACAGAGAGGCTTACAGTAAACAGTAGGTTTGACAGAGAGGCTTACAGTAAACAATATGTTTGACAGAGAGGCTTACTGTAAACAATGTGTTTGACAGAGGCTTGCAGTAAACAATATGTTTGACAGGGAGGCTTGCAGTAAGCAATATGTTTGACAGAGAGGCTTGCAGTAAGCAATATGTTTGACAGAGAGGCTTGCAGTAAACAATGTTTGACAGGGAGGCTTGCAGTAAGCAATATGTTTGACAGAGAGGCTTACAGTAAACAATGTTTTGACAGAGAGGCTTACTGTAAACAATATGTTTGACAGAGGCTTGCAGTAAACAATATGTTTGACAGGGAGGCTTGCAGTAAGCAATATGTTTGACAGAGAGGCTTGCAGTAAACAATGTTTGACAGAGAGGCTTACAGTAAACAATGTTTTGACAGAGAGGCTTACAGTAAACAATATGTTTGACAGAGAGGCTTGCAGTAAGCAATATGTTTGACAGAGAGGCTTGCAGTAAGCAATATGTTTGACCGGGAGGTTTACAGTAAATATGTTTGACAGAGAGGTTTACAGTAAATATGTTTGACAGGGAGGTTTACAGTAAATATGTTTGACAGGGAGGTTTACAGTAAATATGTTTGACAGGGAGGTTTACAGTAAATATGTTTGACAGAGAGGCTTACAGTAAATATGTTTGACAGAGAGGCTTACAGTAAATATGTTTGACATAAAGGTTTACAGTAAATATGTTTGACAGGGAGGTTTACAGTAAATATGTTTGACAGAGAGGCTTACAGTAAATATGTTTGACAGGGAGGTTTACAGTAAATATGTTTGACAGAGAGGTTTACAGTAAGCAAGCAGTATGTTTGACAGAGAGGTTTACAGTAAACAATATGTTTGACAGGGAGGTTTACAGTAAATATGTTTGACAGAGAGGTTTACAGTAAACAATATGTTTGACAGAGAGGCTTACATTAAATAATGTTTGACAGAGAGGTTTACAGTAAACAATGTTTTGACAGAGAGGCTTGCAGTGAAACAATATGTTTGACAGAGAGGCTTACAGTAAACAATGTTTGACAGAGAGGCTTACAGTAAACAATGTGTTTGACAGAGAGGCTTACAGTAAACAATGTGTTTGACAGAGAGGCTTACAGTAAACAATATGTTTGACAGAGAGGCTTAAAGAAAGCATTATGATTAACAGGGAGGCTTACTGTAAACACGTTTCACGGAGGCTTACTGTAAACAGTATGTTTGACAGAGAGGCTTACTGTAAACAATGTTTGACAGCAAGGCCTGCAGTAAAAATTGTATTTGACAGAGAGGTTATCAGTAAGCAGTATGTTAGACAGGACTCAAGAGAAATGATCTTGCCCATGTTTTTTTTGTAAGCTAAAAGAATGTTCACATAAAAATGGTTACAAATGTATATATGTATGTTTAACAATGTACGGTATTTGCAATGGAAGTTATTTTGTTGTAGACTTGCATATAGCTTCATAAACTGTTGTGAAGAGTAACTGTTAAATTGAGTTCTATTGTGCCTTTTCCATGTCCATCCTGGAAGACATTCCGATATCAGTGCTCAGTTATTGACACCCATTTGTGGAGAATGTACAAGTTAGTGCACTGAGTGTTATGTATGGAGAGTGTAGTCTCATGTATGGATGGGTGAATTATATATTGTGCAAGATTATATTCTGCCTAATGTATGCAAGTGTGAATTATATTGTCTCAGGGTCAGAAAGTGTATAGTTTTGTTTATTGACTGATGATTTCACCCTACAGTGGCGATGTCCAGTACCAGAAGTCAGTCCTGCCAAGTGGTTATGGAGAGCCACTGAGCTACTGTCAGGACACTGCTGTACAAGTTGCCCAGGTCACCGAGGGAGCCAGTAAAAACTAACATGAACCTACTAGGCATGTTGTCAGAAGCAATTGGGTCGGGCTGGCCTGAGACTGGCTAACTCCACAGAAACACTCAACCTACAATTCCAATAAATCAGTCTTCAAAGAACTTAGCATGTGTTGGGTGAAGGCCTATGCTTCACTTAATCAAATTTGTCTTGTTTCAGTGATTTCCAGTTGTTCAGCTGTGTGAATGAGAATAATGGTCACGAAATAAAACTAGTTGAACGTAATTCATTGTCTTGTGTTTGCTGTACTCCATCAACCTGCTCAAACCAAGTCGTGCTATCCCTTGCAGTTGACAGCTACCTAAGTATCCTCACATTATTTCCCTAGAGCATACAGTTTCTAATATTGCAGGTGGCAATGCTGGAGATTTCCGTAGGTGAAAGTCACAGAAAACATTCCTGTAGCTGATCAATCTTTATATTAGAAATCTTGACTTCTGTTCTGTTGTTTCAGTACTAATGGTAGCATCTGCTGTGTTGTGCTCCAGCTTAGTTCAAGGTTGATGGTTCGGAGATGCAATGTGCAAGAATAAACACACTGAAGATATAGGATAGGACAGTGGAGTCTCATGACTGCCAGGTTTTAGTGTGAAGATAATGGTCAACGCCCCAGAGGTACACAAACACACAGGTTTACTACCCCCACAGGTAGGATCCTGAAATACTTTGGGTAGATTTCAAACTCCTAATTGTGCCCAGGCAGTGCCGTTAGGCTACTTATTTTAATTTCCAACTGCCATGGGATTTTTTTTTACGAGTGCATGAATACACATAGGTGTCCGATCTGACTACCCAGAGACTAGGGGAAATTACTGGAAGTCCATGAGAAAAAATACCAGCCTTCACTGGGGCTTGAACCTGGGACCTCCAGTAATCAAGGCGGACACCATGCCCTGAGACGACTCATCCCCATTCCCAAGATGCATCTTGTTGGTCACCTTATTTAACTATCACACTTATTTCTTTAAGAAATAAACATCTAAATCTCTTGAGTTGGCCATGTCTGAAAATGTCATTCTTCTGTTCAACTTGTAATATGTATGGAAAAATGTATCCCTGCTGTAGATTTCTGCAGTTAACTCGAGATGTCCAGCCAACCAAGACTTGTCCAAGATATATTAGACCTTGCCACTCCATTAACTGACCAACTTCTGTCCTGGTCACCCTGGTGTACAGGATAAACACCTCCAGAGGCTCCAGACTGGTTGTGCAAGAACTATCTTAGCTCCAAACCTTTAGGTTGATCAGAAGTGTTTCTGTTATGCCAGATTTCTCTAAATCTGAAACTGAAGTACACATGTCAAAAAGCCAGTTGCAAGTAATAACATGTAAATGTAAATATGGAATGCAGTACAGGATACAATAGTTTCAATTACGGAAAACACACACAATTATTTTACACAGACAAGCATATAATTAATTAACAAAGAAGCCAAAACACATTTCATATTTTGGCGTTTATTATAAAAACCTCACTGTATGTGCTGATGAATAATGTACAGACATCAAATGTTTGGTTGGGGAATGGGTGATACCAGCACAAAAACCATCATGTCTGGGGCTCTTCTGTGAGAAGCAAAGCTGGTCCAATGAAAACTTGGTACACATCCGATAACAACATGGTCCTCCTGTTGAACTCAAGCCCCATGGAATGATGTCCCAGTAGAATTGCATTCACTGCTGGCTGGTTTATCAAAGTATGCAATTAGCATCACACACTCAAATCTTCGCTGACGTGATGCTGACATCACCCATCTTTAACCGATTGGTCTATAAAAATATAGGTCTAGCCCTATAAGCCTAAAGGCGCGGAGAAGGGTCCTTTACTGACTCAAATCTTCAAACGTAACCCCTGACCTACTTTTTATTGGCTGCAACAAATACAGTTTGCAAAACTAAAATATCAAACAATACAAAAGTCATATATGTAAAACAAAGTGGAATCAAACAACAATTAAAACAAAGTGGAATCAAACAACAATGTGCACATTGTCCTCACAAATAAGGCTGAGATAACTGGCTCACATTTTTAAATAAACATAGGGAGGGTCACTGCCCCTCAACATGAGCATAACAAGGCCAACACAGTCTGGCACTAAAATTGTCGTTCATTGTCAATGCAAGCCGCACTGACAACAAATCAGCACACGCATTAGTTTTCTCAACATTTTTTTCTCTAATTAAAAAAAAAATTTAATTTATTTATAAACATATCCACTGCTTCCTTCTTTCCCAACCAAATCTGGATTTTCATTGCCCATCATTTATAACAATGCAGAGATCGCGCCACACAACCTCTCAAATTCTGACCAAAATGGATGAGCCCTTTCATCCCGAAGTCTACATTCTTGCTTGTTTTGAAATATTTATCAAGGGAGTTTCCTAAGAACAGGGTTAAGCATTCAGTGCAACACAATCCCCAGGGCCTAAAGCAAATATATATCCTCCTCCTCCTGCAGCAACCTCTATTACTGAGGTATACAGGAAAATGTAAGTCAACCTGGCTTTAAAAAAGCTATTGGATTCCCAAGGAAGCCCCTCTAAATGCTATATTTAGTTAATATACACACAACAGGACCTCCTAAACACAATGCAGGCACATACAGAACTAATGACATTAGACTTTTTTTCACAGCAGAAATAGCCATATACAATTGAGTCCACTTGAGTCGAACTCGGATAAGTCAAATTTTCAATTTTCTCTATTGTGTGTGCTGTCTGAATAAGTAGAAATCCTGATAAGTGGAAGCATTTTCTTAGGTCCCTGCGACTTCTACTTATCCAGACTGGACTGCATTGCAGCATTTACAGGGCTGCCTCATGACTATAGTTTTAGTGTTCTCGGGGCATTAGGGTTTAAAGCTTGCCACGATACCCAGCGCTGCTGCTTCCGTTTGCTAGACCACCCCCTTCCCAACCTGTCACTACAATGGCAGACACAGTCAGCCATGATTATTAAATAAAACATTACAGCAGCACGTCTGTGATAGACGAGATAACAACTTTCCTCCTGTTTACAGCACAAAACATTTAGATATAGTCATGTTCTGGGTGGTCTGTGTGTGTAGTAAGAAGCTTGAAATCTGTCAGCTGGTCATCGATTACCTGGGGAAACAAAAAGACAGTTAGCACACGGCAAGGAACCCGCAACGCCTTCACCAGTTGTAAACTGGTCGACAGTCCAGGTTGCTTTGTCAACCTCTGGACTTTTGAGTTTTGTGTGTAGTTTTGTGTTTTTCCTGGTCTGGTTTATGTGTAGACTAGGTTCTTGTCCTCTCATGCAGATGCACTTTGATTTTGAATGAAACATTGATCGTGTCTGTATTAGCCAGGCACCCGGTTGTGAACCTGTTTCTAGAAAGACTGATCTTGACCAGAGCCCAGGTCCCGATGCAGCAACACCTCTCTATTAGTCTACAAGAGCCGAATCAGCAACACCTCTCTATCAGTCTACAATAATTGAATCAGCAACACCTCTCTATCAGTCTAAAAGAGCTGAATCAGCAACACCTCTCTATCAGTCTACAAGAGCTGAATATCTGCAATTGTGCTACAACACTAAGGACACAGACACCTGCCAGGACAACTTGTCCACTGCCAGATGAGGCTGGTCAGTGTCAGCCTGGGAACAAGTTACATTTACTATCTGGCAAAAGTCGGGGTTTAGGGTAAAAGGTACCTGTAAAGATAGGAAATTTGTAACTGAGCATGTTACCATGGACACTAGAATTAGTGGTGCAGTCGGTTGCCACTGTACACAATATTAGCTGTTAGAATGGTGTTCTGAATTCTACGACTATGAACAATAACATCACCAAGGATTTGTACACTCTAGACCTGATAAGGAGAACTCACAAGGACCCAAGAAAACAGTTTTTATCAGAAAGTCCAGATAAGAGTTCAAGCACGAAAAATTGTCAGGGCTAAACCAGTTCTTCCCATCAGAAATTTGCCACATCCGAGATCGCCTCAAGTGGTGTTCGCTATATTATGGATCCTTCTTGGACGATAGCCCTGTTGTTTAATGTAAGATTTGGAAAGGAAAGAAAAGCCCTTAATCGTGACCAGCGTGAAGCCTGGACTGGAGTTTTTATAGCAAGCCTTGAGTGGAATCTATCACAAACCACAGATCTTGTTTTGGTGAAGAATCATTGTTACTGTACTGTTAGTGTTTCTTGAGATGAGGAATGACATTGTAGGGTGTCTGAAATATTTTGCCTATCTGACCCTGAGACAGACTGACTGATTTGAGAACCCAAATCACAGCACTCGGGGCATTCCCATCTTCAGCAACCAGTGAAGGAGTTCTGATGCTAATGGTGCCAGTAGCATTCTGATTAAATGTCCGTCTTGCCTTTCCTCTGAGCATCTGCCAGAACCTCTCGTCACCACCCCCCCCCCCCCCCCCCGCATCAATCTACCCAGACTGGTGATCCATCTGCTCTTCCAAACTGTACACGCTCTCCCACAAGGCACCAACCACGTCTGCCTTATCATGCATCAGTATTCCACCAAGAGCTAGTCTGTACGACTGTTCATTTCCCAACACATCGGCATATCCTGGTGAAAAATTCCAGACAACACTCCTTACCCGTGTCCTCTGCAGCGAGGCATGCCACTCTGCAAAAAGCAGGCCTGTCCTGATCTTCCTCAGCATGCTTTCCGAGTCAGTTACAATCACGATGTGTGTGTGTGTATTCTTTTTCATTTGTCTTCAAAAGGGCGGTTGGCATGTTGTGTTGCAGTTTACAGCTAGACTGTGATATCTGCATCTTTTAACTAACATATCCTTTCAGCAAATCAATTAGGTGCCTTTTACGACATGTTTGTCAGGAAGCAGTGAATCCTTCCCCCCCCCCCCCCCCCCCCCCCCCACCTTCCTGGAGCTTACTTTGTGTAAAAACCCACATTGTTGACACTGTGGAAGAGGTCTAGTGGAACTGAGATGAATGTCATACATTTACAGACTCCACAAAACAACAGATCAAACACTGAACCTACTCTCTTTAAGTGGAACTTGTGGTGGTTTGACAGGTGTCGGCTTTGCTGGGGTTTTCTTGACACAGGAGTCCCTGGAACCTTCCAGCTTCTCCAGTCTGTCTTGGTACTTCTTCACCAGAGCAAACTGTCTCCGCAGCTCTTCCTGAGACTCACACAACTTCTGCAAAGTCATTGACAAAGGCATGGTTAAGTCCAATCCTACACACAACAGTGGACAAACAGAGGTAAGACATCCTTTGAGAAGCTGACAAATTGTAAATAATAATAGCAAAATATGTAACAATTTGAACCCCCAAAAAATGGAACCAGACAAACAAAGAAAAGGAAACTCAGTAAAAGCTTTCAAAGTGCCAGGAATGGCACCTTTTCCCATATTTTGTAGTATACTGCCAGTATTATATTTGTATGATTTTACTAAGCAATTTAGCATTCAGTAGTATTGCTGCTGCTTCCTGTGCGGTCGGAATCTACACGATAAAACTACGACTGAATCACGCTTAACTGGCCAGAGGAAGCATTCTTATACACCAAACTACTTGACAAGGAAAGACAAACTAGTGGGAATTTCAGTCAAGAACATCTACTACAAGAAATACACAACAATGTCACAGGGAATATCAGTGTAAATATAAAACAAATGTGTCACAGGGAATATCAGTGAAAATACGAAACAAACATGTCACAGGGAATATCAGTGTAAATATGAAACAAACATGTCACAGGGAATACCAGTGTAAATACGAAACAAACATGTCACAGGGAATATCAGTGTAAATACGAAACAAACATGTCACAGGGAATATCAGTGTAAATACGAAACAAACATGTCACAGGGAATATCAGTGTAAATACGAAACAAACATGTCACAGGGAATATCAGTGTAAATATGAAACAAACATGTCACAGGGAATACCAGTGTAAATACGAAACAAACATGTCACAGGGAATACCAGTGTAAATACGAAACAAACATGTCACAGGGAATATCAGTGTAAATACGAAACAAACATGTCACAGGGAATATCAGTGTAAATACGAAACAAGCATGTCACAGGGAATATCAGTGTAAATACGAAACAAACATGTCACAGGGAATATCAGTGTAAATACGAAACAAACATGTCACAGGGAATATCAGTGTAAATACGAAACAAACATGTCACAGGGAATATCAGTGTAAATATGAAACAAACATGTCACAGGGAATATCAGTGTAAATATGAAACAAACATGTCACAGGGAATACCAGTGTAAATACGAAACAAGCATGTCACAGGGAATATCAGTGTAAATATGAAACAAACATGTCACAGGGAATATCAGTGTAAATACGAAACAAACATGTCACAGGGAATATCAGTGTAAATACGAAACAAACATGTCACAGGGAATATCAGTGTAAATACGAAACAAACATGTCACAGGGAATATCAGTGTAAATATGAAACAAACATGTCACAGGGAATATCAGTGTAAATATGAAACAAACGTGTCACAGGGAATATCAGTGTAAATATGAAACAAACATGTCACAGGGAATATCAGTGTAAATATGAGACAAACGTGTCACAGGGAATATCAGTGTAAATATGAAACAAACATGTCACAGGGAATATCAGTGTAAATATGAAACAAACATGTCACAGGGAATTTCAGTGTAAATATGAAACAAACATGTCACAGGGAATATCAGTGTAAATATGAAATAATTATGTCACAGGGAATATCAGTGTAAATATGAAACAAACATGTCACAGGGAATATCAGTGTAAATATGAGACAAACGTGTCACAGGGAATATCAGTGTAAATATGAGACAAACGTGTCACAGGGAATATCAATGTAAATATGAAACAAACGTGTCACAGGGAACATCAGTGTAAAAAACAAGAAACACGCAGAATCAGAACAGAGCCTACCTTCTGAAGAGCAACATGTTCTTGCTTGAGCTTCTCCATGTACTTGAGTTTCTGGCGGTGGTTCTGATGCCCATGTTCTTAATGGCCTCCTTGGTCAGTTTCTCGATCTGCTCACTGGTGTACTTATCCCGATCTACATGGGGTCACAAAGTACAATTTACTGGCACTCTGGCAAACATTTCACTTAGGTCATGCTTATATGTGAGCCTAGGCATATTAGATGCAATGTCTGTGATAGTAACCTAAATGCAGTGGATGAATGTATGGTTGACGCTTACATGTGAGGTGCACTTGCTCTACATGTGTGGCTGTCAAGATGTAATACATCCACGTGGTTCCTGGATCAGCCATAAGATGTCTACTGGTTGATATCTCCCAAAGCAAACTGAACCAATGATTATCACCCCCCCCTCCCATTTAAGAAGAGGATGGCAAGATTCTAAACCTATTGCTCTGTTTTGTTACAAAACAGTGCAGCACAAGGCTGTGACATTAGAATCCAGCCCTGACCATCTCTGAGCGAGTGTTTAACATGGCGGCATATCTTAGAGTCTGGCAACCTGAATCTTAAAGCCTAATACAATTATATTATCTTCTTTGTTCGCCTGCTGTAAGCTCTGACGGAAAATCCTGGTTGTTCGACCATTCTGATTTTAGCTTTGTGTCAGGGCCTAAGTTTTGCGTGTGCACCCATTTTACCGGGTTATTTGTGTGCAGTTGGTTGTCCCCTGTGCACTCCTAAGACATGCATTGTTTAGGGAAATTAGTGGGTCTATTCTTGTTTTCTCCACAATGGGGAGAGTGTCTCCATTTAACATCCACACAAACCACAACCAAGAGCAGCCGACAGCAAAGTAGGTTCTCAGAATGATGTAACACCTATTATGACATGAGTTACAAGATGACAAACCGAAAGAGATAAGACAATTTCTAATTTAAGAATCAATGGAGTTAGAAGAGAGAGAGCAGAAGTCAGACTTGGTCATGTCTGCATTAATAATGCAATCACATATTTAGATCAATTGTAAGACGGGGTCGCTGACCTTGCAAGAGTTTTCTCTCTAGTTCATAGTTGTCCAGAATGTCTTTGAAAGGTTCCATTCTTTTCTCCAGCTCCTCATACAAATCTTTCCAGCTGAAATTGAAGGTGAGAACTTGTCAGCAACAAATATATCAATAACAAAACACAAGACTTGAGCCTCACAAAACTAGACATAAATACAAGACTGGAGCCTCACAAAACTAGACATAAATACAAGACTGGAGCCTCACAAAACTAGACATAAACACAAGACTGGAGCCTCACAAAACTAGACTTTAATGACTTTGTGTTTTCTCTACTTGAAGACAGCCAAGCGCGTTGAGATCTCTGGAACGGGTCATTCTGTTCACTTTGTAAACAATACTGTTTATAGTCTCCTACATTTCAGCAGTCCATCTTCTGAGTGGCCGACCACCGGCTCTGTAACTGCTGTATCTGTATAAAACTGCTTGTTGTGGTGAACATTGCTCTAGGTGATGTCCTGTCTGGGTTTTGTGTGTGTGTGTGCTAAATTGTTTGATCGGCTGTCAACCAATCAAGCTTCATGTTGGTTCTGTGCATACTCTCCTCTTGATATCAATGTTCCTCAGTCGATCTTTCCTTACACTGAGTTTGGATAATTATTTGTCACTTGAGTAACAAACACACACACACAAGACTTGAGCATCAAATAATTTTATATATAAATACAAAACTTGAGTAACAAATAATTTTATATAAAAATACAAGACTTGAATGACAATAATTATATATATTTGTTTTCAATCCAAGAATTGAGAAAACAGTAATATAAAAACCTCAAGTAACAAAAACAGTAAAATACCAGACTTTTTTGACAAATGTGGAAATAATAAAACAAGTCTCTAATTCAGCTTAACAGAGACAGTCACAGCAAAAAACAGCATTTACCCCTGCTGAGAGTCTGTCTCTGTTTGCTGCTCCGAGTGCTGCTCATCCATCTGCTGAATCTTCTCAGACATTTCAAAGATGATTTGATTGAGACCTTCTCTCTCCATGTCGGCCGCCTCAGTCAGAGCTCTCAACTTGGCATCCTGCCTGTGCTGGTAACCTTCATATTCCTCACTGATCCTAGAGTAAGTGTTAGATACAGGTTAGAAGGTGTAGTGGCGCAGTAGTAAGTGTGCTTGCTTCAAGTGGTCAGAGGTCAAATCTCATTGAGCTCATGTGCAATAAATGTTGATGAAGAGAAGCAAAGACTGTGTTATATCTCCATGTCATATTTACAAGACCAAGAAGTTTGAGCATCATCACGGACCATGCCAAGTGGTGGAGGCGGCCAGGTTCTGCACAGATCTGCCCTGTGCATCTTGATCAAGTTCAGTCAGTAACTATCTTTAGTCCCCCTGTCTAATCAGCACGTCTACCTTGCTCTCTCTTTTTGTGTGTGCACTTTATGGATTCTGGGTTCTTTCGACTGTTCTTTTTCTTGATTCCCAAGGCATGCAGTAGTAGGGACAGAATACTGAAACTTCTATACCAAACCTCAACTCCCAAAAAGAGGTTCACTGGTCTTTTTTTTTTCTTTCAAACTGGTGGAATATTTCATTTCTTGCACTTGTTTTTAAAATTTCATGTTATTACTATTCTTAAAAATGAGCCAAAGTGTTGTTGTCCCTTTACAGGACGTTGCAGAACCAACCCGGTCATTTTTTTTGCTGTTGTGGTTTTACTATGCAAATTTTACGTTCAGTAACTTGCCACTGCTTTCTGTAAGAAATGGAAATAAACAGAAAGGAACAGAAACAATGAATGACTGTAAAATGTGTGTGTTCAAGGACGTTAATAAATGATAGATACACAAAACCAAACATTATGACAATTTAGAAAATTTTTTAAATGTTTACAAAACTGGTAAACCACAATATCAAACCAAAGACTAACAAGTGACTAATTGAGGATTTGCGGTTATAGGATGTGTTAGGCCCTTTGGGAACAAGGCAACAGTGTGGATGCGCATATAGATTATTACAGTCTGAGGAGAATAGAACTGCGAGGAGTTACCAGAGGCTCAACACTCTGGGAAAGGATGAGACGGATATACAATCAGACGGCTACTGGTGCCATCAGAACTGGAACTCTTCGCTTGCTGCAGAAGAAAGGAACAGAGCACTTATGGGAATGTCCAGAGTGCTGTGATGTCCATTCCTAATTCAACAGGATGTGTGAGGCTAAAAGGCCTAGCTGTAAACCACAATACATTGTTAAAACCGCTCTCTTATTGATGAGTGCGGAATAGAACTAAAATGGCGCCAAACAAAGTAAAACATGTTTGCAAATACTACAAAAATGAGACTAAATCACTTAGAATATTACACACCTGGCAATTTCATCTTGCAGAAGTTCTGTCAAACCAGCAAGTCGTTCATTCTCGTTAGAAAGAGCAGAGTATCTCTTCTCCAAAGCTGCATGAGTGGCATGTAGAGATTCCAGCTCCAATCCAAGTTTGTGAAGCTGTGACTGGAGCAACTCCTGTTCAAGCTGTGTGCATGCTTTCTGCTCTGCTATCTGAACGTCATATTTCCCCCGTAGTTCCTCAACTGAAGCCTGCAATTCATCATAATCCTTCTTTGATTTCACTATTTGCTCATCAAATATCCTTTGTGCTGCTTCTTCTTCCTGTTTCATTCTTTGTAACTTTAGTTCATATTCATTTTCTATTTGTTTTCTAATACTTCTGTTGTTTTCTTCCTGTATGAGTTGCTGATTCTTCAAAATCTCAGACTGTTGGTTGACACAATCTTCTTTCTCTTTCTCTACACTTTTGACCTTTTCACGGAACATCTGATCCACAGAATCGTTGTATCTTTGTTTTTCTTCTTCCAGCAACTGTAATTTTTCTGTATGTTCTTTTTGTAAGCGTTTCTGGAAAATAAAATGTTTCTCCTCCATTGCTTGGATCTGTTCCTCCAGATTGTGTTTTTGTTCCTTCACGAAGTCCTCCTTTTCTCTTTCAACAGCCGCACACTTATCCATAAACAGCAGTGCCTGCTTCTGTTCAAATTCCTGCTTTGATTTGTCAACTTGCACATTCTTTTCTTCAAAGCTGTGTAACATTTCTTCATACACTTTAGTGTACTGTGTTTGTAAACTGACCTTTTCCTGTTCAAGAGATTTCAGTTTCTCTTCCAACAACTGTTTCTGTTTGTCTGTCTGAGTTTTTTCACCTTCAAACAGTCTCTCCTTTTCTCTGAAAACACTTATGTCTGCCTCAAAACTGTTTTTATCTAATTCGAGAGATTTCATTTTTTTCCTCCAGTAAATGTTTTTGTCTGTCTATTTCTGTTTTTTCATTCTCAAATTTCATCTGGTTTTCTCTGAAAACATGTTTTTCTGCCTCAAAACTATTCCTGTCCAGTTCAAGGGATTTAACTTTTTCTGCAAAGAACTGTCTTTGTACCTCTATTTCAACTTCTTTACCTTCCAAGACACTGGCTTTCTCTGCAAGCAACTTCTGTTGTGCATCAAAACTCCTCTTCTCCTCTTCAAAGCATTTACATTTTTCCTCCCACAATTTCTGCTGGGACATCTCAAACTCTGCCTTCTCAAAGTTGATCAGCTTCATCTTCTCCTCCATCATATGTGACTGTTGCACTTTAAATGCTTGCTCTCGTTGTTCTACAACTGCTATTTCAAGTTGCAACTTCTCAGCATACTCTGCTTTGAGATGTTGGATTACATTTTCTAATTTTTTTTCATGCTCTGATTTCATATGTTTTATCTCATTTTCTGCTGTTGCCAGCATGGCTGAAAGTGCCTTATTTTGGTTTTCAAGCTCAAACTGTTCTCTGGCACTTGTAACTTGCTGCGCTTTCAGTTCTTTTTGATAACACTCTATGTCTTGTTCCTTGTTGACTACCATTAGATTACATCTGGAAATTTCTAACATGGCTGTCTTCAATTCTTCCTCAAGCAACATAACTTTATTTTCTAATTGAATGTTCTCTTGCTGCACAGGAACAGTTATCTTCTTCATCTCTGAAATATTTTGTTGAAGGTCAGATGTTTCTTTCTGAAGTTCGGAAATCTTCCCCTGGAGATCTGTCACCTCTTTATCCTTTTCTCTGGACAAGATTTCAAACCTGGTGTTACTTTCATGCAGTTCAAAGTCTGATGCTTCGACTCTGTCTTCAGCATTCTTGAGCTTGGCCAGGCACTCAGCCAGTTCATCAGACAGGCTTTTTAAACTTTGATTAACCAGATCTCTGCCATGGAGTAGATCTTGTTTAGTAGCTTCCAACTGGCTCACCATGTCTTCCAAGGACTGTTTCCTCTGTTCTAAACTCTGCACCCTTTGATGCATGTCCAACAACTCGAGACTCTGCCCAGCAAGTTTTCCTTCTGCTGCCATCAGCTGTAACGCCAGTGACTGCTTTTCTTTGGTCGCTGTCTCAGAATTTACTTGGAATTCAAGAACCTGTTGCTCCAACCTGCTAATCTTGATTTCAAACTCTGCAGAAAGTAATACTGTATTTTCAAATTGTGAAGTCAGAACATCCTTCTCCTCCGCTAATAGTATCATGTCCTTTTCCAGCCTAGAAACCTTTTCTTCTAGAACATTCTTTAAATCTTCTAATTCACAGGTTTTCTTTTCCATTCCTCTCCTCTCTAATTTTAAGTCAGACAATAGCAAGACGGTGTTGTTTAATTCCCCAGCTAGATCTTTTTTCTCTAAGACAAACTGTTCATTTTCACTTTCCAGCTTGGAATTCTTCTGCTCCAGTTTCACCTGCTTCTCCTCCATTTGTGCTTGTATCAGCTCCAGCTTACCGAGAGCCTCTTTCAGCTCCCTAACCTGTTTGGTCAAGGATTTACACTCAAGCTGCAGTAGCTCCCTTTCTTTATCTGCCCCAATTTTCAGAATTTCAAAGTCAATTATTTTCTCTTCTGTTGTCCTCAGTCGTTGGTGTAGCTCTTCAACATGCTTTGGCAACTCCCCTCTGGCAGCAGCAACACAACCTACAATTAGTTACAAAGAAATGCAATCAAAATCAAATTATAAATTGTTTTTTTTTTTTAAACTATAACACCTGCATGTCATGAAGGTTAAAAAATGATGGTCTATCTTTTGAGTGTTTCTTGTCTTTGTCAAGCAACACAAGTTTAAAAAAAAAAAGTTAGTTGTCTATTCTTTACAGGAAATTGCAGAACTAACATCAATTTTTTTTGTGGCTGTTGTGGTTTTTCTAGGCAAACTCACGTTCAATAATTTGCTATTGCTTTCTGAACAGTTGACCCTCAGTACCACTGTCAAAACCAATGCAAGACGATCTGCCGCCAAATCACCTGCAACTGGGACGCATCCCAGAACTATGAATGCAACATAAGTAGATAGCGCTAATCTGGTGCTCAACAGTGCATCATGCAGCAAGAGAAGAGCCTAGAAGAGTTAAAGTTCTGACACACACACAGATATCCTGCAGTGTCATTTCTTCCAAATTAATTCAGCTACTTTTTCTTTATTTCGTCTAGACTCACAGCGTTGACTTTATTATTCTATTAATATTTCCTATATATATATAAAAAATTATTTAAAAAATAAAAATAAATGAACAACACATTTTGAACAAATTCATCAGTAACGTGTGAAACACCTATTTTATTATTTAAATGATTTTTTTTTTGGGGGATGTCCAGTTTCATGACCTTATTGCTTTTTGGCACAACCGGATTCCTCACACACACAGACACTATCTCACGTTAGTCGACTTCATTGCACTACCGGAGTGGAGGAACGATTCCTCACACACACAGAGACACTATCTCACGTCAGTCGACTTCATCGCACTGGGTTTTATCACCCATATGGCCTGGTCTCTGTCCCTTGAATGGCTAGCTGCCTACCGAAAGCACCGCACAGAGCATGAACTGTAGCTCCGGCAACGACCCCAAAGTATGACTGTAAAAATTGCACTTGAGAATTGAATGGCACAGCCGTGAAATGAACCCATGACCTTCAGGGCACAGGGCAAACGGCTTGACCCCTGTCAGACAATCACAGTGTTGACTGTGTGGTTCAGTAAGCAAAGTCTGCCCCTCCCCTCTAAGCTGTGGAGTCTGTCTGTGTGAACAGAGGCTATGAAAGCTCTATCCAGCCAGGAGGGGTACAAGGGGTACATCAAGCAATCTTGAAACTAAGCCCATTTGTAATAATGTTATATTATTTTTAGTTTATTTAGAAATGAAATAACTACAATATTTTTTTGAACTATTTATAAAACAAAGTGCCAAAGACATTTTTTGTTTTCTTAAGCGGTTTGTATATGTACAGTTATAAATCTAATTACAAGAATTTATAGATTAAAAGTACATACTGTCTGTTGCCCTTGCTGCAGAACCTGCTGTCCTTCTCTTTTTCATTAATCACATTTTGCTGGGGGTGGATGTCTTGCAATATACTCAGTGAGAATTGGGGCGTGAGGGGGGGGGAGGCACAGGGGCTATTGTCATATACTCAATAGGAAGCGCATGGGGGAAGGGGGGCCTGTCATATACTCAATGGGAAGAGGGGGTGCAAGGATCTTGCTATCACTCCTGGAGAACCTTAAAAAACCGGAAGACTACTGGGCTATGATGACTTCCTGCACTGGTGTGCTCTTTGATGAGGCCAAAACTACTAATATTTATACTTCAAAGGAACAAAACCATTATGATGTGCTTTATCTCTCTTCTTTTTCTGCATTCATCTGGGGTAAAAATGAGCTGTGTTTGTTTACAACACGGCTGTGATATTTGTGCCTTCCCGCTGATGCACCTGACTTCTGTAGGTACTGCAGTCTTAATACTGTGCTGTGTGCTCATCTATTTCCTAGTTAATAGACAGGTTTTTCTCCCCCAATCAGACCGATCCAGAGAAGCCAGTTAATGCTGGTCAGCAGCCCTTGAGAGAAGACAGGGCCAAAACATGAGCCTTCTCCAACACCCATGGAGGCTTCCATTAACGCAGGGCCAAAACATGAGCCTTCTCCAACACCCATGGAGGCTTCCATTAACGCAGGGCCAATACAGGGTGCTCCAGCACCAGGCTCACCCAAAGAATCATCACGTCCTGCTCATGACTGTTTAATCTCACTTCCGTGTATTGACCCTCACATTCATCGTTGGCTTGTCTCTAGAAGCCTGCAGACCCAGGATTTTGATCAGATATACATTATGGATGCACTTTGTCTGATCATGTGGTATGGGGGAGGGGAAGTCAGCAGAAACTGGACAGGGCTGCACAAAAATAGTGCACGGTAACGATTAAACAGGCATCAAGCATGCCTGCCGAACACAACCACATACACAGACAGAATCACGTAGAACATGAACACAGAACAAACAACAGATGAGCCGAACCTTTGTCCTTCAACTGCTTGCATGAGAGGTCTAGTTTACTTAAGCACTTGGATCGATCAAGTTCTGTGGATAAATGTGGTTTAAATGTTACTTTCCATACAGCAAGAAACGGAATCAATGGGTACTGATTTTACCTGGCATAATACAGATGCTCATACAGCAAGCTCAAGTATGAATAAATATTTGCTTGACAGTCAACATTTACTTAAAAGAATAGGAAAAAAATTAATTAAAATATATCTCCAACATTTTTTCAGAATTAAAAAAAAAAAAATCACACACCTGTCTTGATAAAAAGGTACAGTGAACATGCTCCTCTCACTGGAAGCCTTGGCAACAATGCCCCAGTGTCCACATCAAACATGGCAACTCTTGGGATGGTCATGTGACTTTCCTCATCATGTTACAGTTGGCGGCCTGGTGCTGTTCCATTTTCCCAGGCAAAGATTTCTGTATCACACCAACATACATCTCTTCTAGCAATGACGGCAAGTTCTAGTTGTTCATTCACTTTTGTCTGATTCCAGAATTTTAGTGTTGTGCGCACATACAAGGGGAAGTCAATAAATAAGTCATAAACGTTTATTCGATGGCAAGAAAATGTAGTTGGTGGTTTATAAAGGTGTCATTAGGTGACAGCTACATCAAACTTGCCATTAGTCAGGCGACGCTGGGTGTTGCATGCACATTTGCAACACAGAAACAAAATGACTACTGCACTTACAGAGTGTATCCTCAAAGAACAACGTATTGTTGTGCAGTTTTTTGGGGCAAAACAGCTGCCTGCAAAAGATATTCATAAGGAAAAACTTCTCAAGTTATGCTGACAAATTTTTATCCAGTAAAGTGGCGCATAGCTATGTAAAAAAAAATTTAAAATTTTTTTGAAAACACACCTTGATAGCAAACATTTCAATAATGATAGAAAAGTTGAATGTGGAGTAACAATGTGGTTTATAAAACACAGCATGGTTGGTGGAAACTTGAAAAATAAAGGGATAGCGACATCAGTGTACGTTAAAAAAATAAATGATTGTAAAGCTGTTATCGCTTTTTTGTTTGTTAGAGAACCATTTGTGACTTACTTATTCGCAGATCTGACTTATTTGTGTGCAGACTGCTGGTTCGGACTTTGAAAACAAACACAGCTAACATGTCATTTATTATGACTTGTTGAGGTTAGGGGAAAGAACACCAAAATGTAGATAAAACATGTCTTTTGAAGATAAGAACTCTGCTGTCATAATCCCAGGGATGCCTTTTTATTCCACCCAAATTCTAGATTGTGTGGATTGAGTTTATGCATCATAACTATGCATTACTTAACTAACCTTTCAACTGACCGTGATTTTTCTCTGCCGTCAAATTGTAGGCTCCAACTCCAGGTGTGTTTTCTGTTGAAGATAGGAAGGAAATATTTCAAAAGAGAAACAAATGTTGGCTCTTCTTTAAATAACGGTCGCTAGCTGGAAGGCGACGGTCGCTTAGGTGGAGTTCACTCCCTTGGCTGCAGTGCAAATACAGAGTGGTAAAGAGGGAACGAAACAAATGATATAGTTACCTGTCATCCTAGGGTTAGGCTTAGGGTTTGGGTTAGAATTTGGGGTACGGTTAGGGCGACAGAAGCTTATCGCTCATTACGACATACAGATCCGCAGGTCTCACATCTACGGTCACTAAGTCGTGCGTCGCAAGACCGAGGTCGTCGCTACTGTCAGTCGCAGCGCGTGGTGTAGCTCTAGCAGGCATGTCGACCTCACTTTGTTTTTTGATTCGTGACTTGTCCGCTCCGTATTTGCACTGCAGCCAGGGGAGTGAACTCAGACTAAGCGGCCGTTGCCTTCCAGCTAGCGACCGTTATTAAAAGGAGAGCCTAAATGTTTAAACTTATTTCCACATTTGAAAACTGGTGCCACTATACTATACAGCTCAGAAACATGGATTCTACCCCGAAAAGATGGACTGACACTGAAAGCTTTTGATACATGGCAAATGTAGAAAACAGTTACGAATCTTGCTGGTGAATGAATGCAAAGGTGAGAAAATATATTTTGATATATTATTAATAATAACATTAAAATAAAATATATAATTTGCAAGGCCGTTAAATTGTTAAATTAAACATACAAATTAATCATTTTATTATTCTGTGAGCTGAGAACTTTGAGAGCCTGGCAGTGAATTTTAAGGACACATTTTTAAATGTAACTATTTGTTATCAGTTATATATTATGTCTTTTTTTTCGTGATTCGACCAGACAACAGAGAAAGCTGAAACAGTCAAAACTAAACACACTAACATTGTTAGTAACAAGTTTTAACAACTCTAACACGCCGCATCTTATTGAATATTCTTTTCTCAAAAACAACGTTTTGTCCACTTACCACACATCTCATTGAATCTTTTAAGTCTTGCTCGAGAAAATGCCATGATGTTTTGGTTACAAACACAGCCGTGTCGTTACAAATTTAAGAATTCACAAATAAAAACAGAAAACGCTGATCCCACAAGCTGCCACAGACAGGGTTGAAGTCTGCGCTTCAAGCAAAACTGACCAATCGTTGTTTACTTCCGGAAAGCTGTCCAATAGCTGCTTACTTCCTAGCAGGACAAAGTTTCAGGTATCATCATCATCCTGTGCCCTGCCAACTGGCGAAGGCGCTCTTGCGTCTCCACAGATCACGATCCCTGGTTGCCTGGAACAGCTCTCTTGACGATATCCCTCCTTGCCATCGTTTCACCCTATTCAGCATCATCTCTCTTGGTCTGCCTCTACATATACCCGTTTTCCACTGATCTTTCCAGTTGTCACGATGTTCTCCAATGTCTTACTTCTCATATGTGGCCAAAGAACACTGTTTTCTCTTTCTTATTGTTGTATATAAAGAAGAATGCTTAAAAGATCTTAGACAGCCAAAAAGAGAAATTAAGAGTTTTTGAAAACTTATCACAAACATCAGAAGAAAGCAGTCATCCTTTTTTGGCTTGGTTATGAGAAGAGGGAAAATGGAACATGTTGTGACCACTGGAAAGATCTGTGGAAGGAGGGATATAGGAAGACAACGAGAGAAGATTCTTGACAGTCTTGTTGTGTCAGCACACAAACTGATACATGCTGCTGGAGATCGCAGATTGTGGAGGGGCATGATTGCCCACTCCAGTCGCCAAGGCACCTGATGATGAAGACAGAGTTACTTTCATTAGCTTTTTTTTTCAAGCAATCGTTGTTAGTTACTCTGGCCAGCCATGGTATTCGAAACATTTGTCTCAGAAACTACATCTCTGTTGCTTCCAAATTCTTCATAATTTCTTCACTGACATTCCAAGATTCGCTGCCACAGCAGAACGGGTTCTGTGTAACATTTTAGCACCCTCTTTCTGACTTTAAATGAGAGCGATTTATTGCATAAAATATTTGTCCTTTTCATAAATGCAGCTTTCGCTTGACCTGTTCTGCTTGTAATCTCTGTCATACATTTTCTATCTGATGATGTGATTGTTCCCAGCAGTGTTGCCACTTTTCTTTGACAAAAAAAAAAACACACACACACACACACACACATCCAAAACGGAGTCCAAAAATATCTAAAAACATCTAAATGTGCATGAAAAACATTACATAGCATGGATATGACTTACCCTATAGAATCATGTCCTCATCTTGACTGAAGTCTGCCTCACAAGATCCACAGGATAAACTTAGCTTGGATGATGAAGTTGAAGCTTCAGATCCCAAATGACTCTGGAATGCTTTAGCTGTTCCAATTTCTTTTAATATCCAGTCAGGGAGCTGAAAAGTGGAACAGCCTTTTACAACTGTTATCAGGCCGAATTTTACTGTCAATGTAGCATTTAAGAGGTCAAATTTCATCCTGTGTCTTAGGTTAGATTTGATAAATTCACTCCAAATGGAAAACATCTAGAGAAACTTCTACCATCTAAACGTCAAAAACGCCATCTAAATGGAAGGGGAAAACATCTAAATCTGGATGTAAAACATCCAAAGTGGCAACACTGGTTCCCAGATATATGCATTTTAGGTAACACCGAGGCTAATCGCGTTTTAACCACATTTAGCCACTCCCAACTTGCACAAAACTGCAGCCACGAGTTAACAACTAACAATACAATGCTATATGTGCAGAATAAATATTCACAAATCATCATCGTGTTGTGACATGATATATCACATAAGCTTGCAGTTTGTGTCTCAATATTGTTTTAACCCATGCAATCCAATTCAGCAACTGTTTTATTTTTTAAGTTTCTTGTTCTCCTTTGACCTTAGTATTCCACGTGTGGGCAGTGGCCCCATGGTTAGGAGGGAGGGGAAGAATAGATCTACTGCACCCTAAAAACAGTGTCGTAAAAGACAACTAGGTTAGTTGTGTATCCTTGCGTGTGGTTTTTCTAGGCAAATTTACGTCCAGTAGTTTGCCTTTGCTTTCTGGTAGGTCGGCTTTCTTGATACCACTGTCGAAACCAACGCAAGGCGCATGGCCCGCAGCTGGGACAGAACCCGGCATCTCGGCATTACGAAGCTTTCGCATAGACTTAGCCACAGAGCCGACAAAAGACAACTAGTTAGAGGTATTTCCCTTGAAATTGACGTTAATGGGCCACAGAGACAAGGAACCAACAGGCAACTTTAAAAAAAAAAAAGCGTTATCTGGACAACGGAAGTGCCCGTGAAACTCAAATTCTGGAACGAAGTCAAAGTTGAGAGGTGGACGAACAACCAGAACATTCCTCCGAAATCTGTCTGCTAGACGTGTTATTGATGTCTTATGAGAGGTAAAGTATGTCGGAGATCCATTGCAGTTGATCGAAGCGGCTCCTTCTCCCGCGCGTGTTCCGGTGCCCAAATGATCAGCATTTGAGATTTAGCAGTGAAAACTTTCAGACGCCAATATTTATTCATAGTGGTATGTAGTACTGTTTAAACTATATTCAAGTCTAAACTTTAACGGTGTCGTGTTTATCTTTGTTAATTATTCTGTGGCTTGGGCGTTGCGAACGCGTTTTTGTAATGCCGGAGTGCCAGGTTCGATCCTTGCGCTGGTTTGGACAGAGGTATCGAGAAGCCGACAGTCCAGTAGCAATGGCAAACTACTGGACGTAACTTTGCCTAGATAAACCACATCAGCCAAAAAATGCTGGGGTTGGTTCTGCAACGCCACGTAAAGGATACGCAACTAACTTGTAATACTTCTGTCATCCTTCATGTATGTCTGTTTATCAACGTAACATCTGTTCTCGCTTTATGTTAGTTTGCAGTCAGCTTATATCTACGTATTTCAGTCATAATCATAACGGATTCACCGCGAAATTCTTAAACCTGATTGATTTAGTCGCTTGTACTGCTCAATCGAAATGCGTTGTGGTTGATTCTTTCCATATTGTCGCCATGTTTAATCTTTTGCCACGGTAAGCCTGTATTGATTCTTTAATAACATTGGATCATATTCATATATGAACGTGTATTTGCTAAGGTATTTGAATTTGAGGCTCAATTGTTAACTCTTACTCCTCTTGCCTTTTCTTCTCCTCTTCATCTGTCTTCTTCTATTGCTTCCGCTGCCTTCCCACTTTTCCGCCCCTGTCTTCTTTTCCTGGTCTCATTCTTCCTTGCTCTTTGCTGCCTTTCCCCCACCTTTTTCCCCCTTTATCGCCAGAACATTTACACTGCAATTCTGGTGGGGTCTGTTGGTATTGGCGTCTCTAGCAGCGGCCGTATATATTTACTTTTCTGGATTTCAGAGTGACTAATTGTTGGTTTAGCCATTTTTAAAGAGGGAGAGAGAAATCTCGCGTGATTTTTATTAGCACGGGATCGGAGCAGTTAAAGGAAGATTCGCTTGTAATGAAGTTGAAACTCTGATGATGATTACGACTACGATTCCTTGCTTCTTCTATTCCGCGATTCTATTTCTAACGCACAGAGCCCATTTACGCTGTGTTGTAGATTTCACCAGATGTTGGATTAGGCCGTCACCCTTCAAAGTCCAAGTCGAATCCCAATTCATTGCCACCAAGTCCAAAATGAAGTCCCAAGTCAACAAGAATGCTTCCAAGTGTAGTCTCAAGTCAAGTCATGCACCAAGTCATTTGCAAGTCGTGCGTGGGACAATCAAAAATGGGAGAAAATACAGAACCAAACACAACCGGTATGAGGGTGCCAACAACTTCATGAGTTGTTTACAAGAGCGGAACAAAGCTAATGTGAAAGCTTGATAATTCAAAACACACTTGATTCCATCTTGGTTTATATGAAAACGTTTTAAAATGCGAAGTTGACCACGAAACATCACAGTGGCTGGCCACGAAAAAAAAAAAAAAAAAAAAAAAAAAAACAAGTCCAGTCTTGAATGGCTGGACAAAATTCCAAGTCGAGTCTCGAATCGCTGGACAAAATCCCAAGTCGAGTCGCAAGTCGTTTATTGACAAGATTTAAGTAGGATTCAAGTCCAAGTGGTGTCACTTGTGTCCGGACCTCTAGCCTCAACCTCTCAGAATTTTCAGAAACTAAAATCAAGTACATTATATATATATATATATATATATATATATATATATATATATATATATATATATATATAATATATATATATATATATATATATAAATAAATATAGATATATATATATATATATATATATATATATATATATATATATATATATATATATATATACATATATAAAATGTTAAATTTAGGAAAAAGATAGAAAGTTGATACACCACAAGTACAGCACAAAGAGGCACTGGAAATGTAAAAAGCTTGGGCAAACTTAGTGCCATTGGAAACTCATCATGCAGCAGGTCCTTTGCAGAACGTCGCTCTCGTCACATTCTGCCTAAGAAATTTTTTTTTCTCGTCAGATCTCCCTTCCTCCTCGTGCACTAACCTACTTAAGGTGTCATTTATATCCAGTGCTCATCTACGTGCTGGACGACGCCTGCCCCTCCTTTCTGGCATCATGCTTTTTGCTACTATTCTTTATGATCCAGCTTAGCGTTTGATATGACCCAAATGTTGCCGTTTATGAGATAATCTTCCTGGGTATTCAGATCTTTTAGAACGTCAGTATTTCGTTTTGTCTTTGTCTGTGGTATTCTGAGATTTTGAAACAAACAGGGGAGGGGGGGGGGGGGGACAGCCGAGATGTGTGTAATACGCTAAAAGCTACGGCGTCATTTGAAATATGAGTTAAAAAAGATGTTTAAAGATCCGGTTATCGTCAACTAAAGATTACTAAATGTAACATATGTTATAAAGTTCTCAGATTTCAGGGAGGAACGTTTGTTTCACACGAGGCTATGAAAGCTGAATGTTACTGTAGTGAACATTGTAGAGTAACAGATTACAACCTGGCCACTTTTAAGTAGCGTTATTTAAAACACAACAGAGCCTGTGCTGTTTGAAACTT